ACCTTATAACATCGCTCAAAAAATAGCATTATATATGGGCCCTTTAATACAAAACTGTGGACATCTGTGGCAGAGCACATCTTTTTGAGACAATTATGTGGCCAGCTCCACCAGAAAAGTTACACAGTGCAGCTCAAGAGCTCATTCAGTGCAATAAATATGATATATGATGCTGTTAATAAGGTTATAGAACATATAACACAAAGGGAAAGTTGGGAAGTTAAATTCTTAAATCAATGTCAGTGTGATAAGGCAGGTAAGATAGTGAATCAGTCTAAATCTGTTAAAGGTGCTCTATGTCTTTTCAGATGGAGGGTTCATCACCTGCTTGACTCCATGGAGATGTTATTGCTTTGCATTGATTGTAATGTTCCACAGTATGGCATAAAACATATTTATCACCATGGAAACAAGCAGATGATGCCACCAGGCTAAGTTACGAGTCAGATGTGTGGAGAGGCAGATCAGCTCACATTAACTTTTAATACCATAGGCATGTGTGTGATGAGGAAACACCATTATAACATAGCTCAGAAAACAGCCGAAGATGGCTCCTTTAATAGAAAACTGTGGAACATTCCTGGCAAATCAATCTCCTTGGAGACAATTAAATGGCAGACTCTACCAGAAAAATTACATAGTGCACCTTTTCATAATTCATAACAGCTCAATCAATTAAAATGGTAATGCTATAACTATTATGTTATAAATAAAGTTATAGAAAATGTAATACAATGGGAATTTCATTTGAAGTTTCATCTCTATATTTAAACATGACTGAGGCCTGTTTATAGTTTCAGTGAGGGCCTGTGAGTGAGGATCAGATCTCATAACATGTAACAGAATATTCCAAGTGGCCCTGATCCAGACCATATCTTTGTAGTGAGAATCACACAAATTTGTGGGAAGTGTTTGTATTGAGCTGTTGCTATAAATGGCTTTTGTGGTGCAAGTCACACGCACAAACAGAAGTGAGTATTGAAAGCTTGTGCACAGGTCAGAGAAAAGGTGTGGCTCTTGGTTTATTTGATTTCACTGATGATGCTTTGTCTGTTAAATCTAAGATAACTTAAAACATACACATCCTCACATATCCTTGATTGTTACATGATTTTAATCTTCTTTTTACTTTGTTTCTTGTATTGTAAAGCATATTTGATTGTCCATAAAAGCACTGTATTTGTTTGATGCACTGTTATTATTATTATTTTCATGGATGAAAGTGGATCAGGCAGGCCACAGACTAGTGCGAGCATATTTTGATTCATACATTCTAACTGAAGGGCTGTTTCAGAGGTCAGCGCAGTGAATCATTCAAATAATAGAGCATTTGCGGCCATCATCTGTGTACACATCAAAACATAGTGACAAAGTGATTCACATATGGGATTTTATTTAAGTTGCAGTAAAACCATATGCTATCTAGGATTCTATGGCAGTTTCCAAGTCTCCAGAAAACTAAAGACCACTAAAATGTATTTGGATATCACTGTTCTGACAGGTTAGCGCAGGTTTGAGTATAGTGGCACAAAAAGCCTGTTTCCGCTCGAGGATTAGGCTACATGAATTTGCCAGGACAACCAGAACAACAAATACACTGTTGTTTAAATATGTTTCACTCATTATTCCTGGTCATTAGCTGGAGGTCCACGTTCTACTGGAATGTTTTTCTTAATAACGCTGAAGCTCCCATGAAGAAAAGTGAATCATCTGTGTCCTTCAGTCTGGCCTTTTACCTTTTCACAATAAAGATAGTGCTTTTCTGTGAACTGTTGTTGGCATTTTTGGCTCATTACTCAAGTGAATTTGGCTAGTAGTTATCCAGCAAGACCAAGATTGTTGCATTATGTGCTATGGTTGAGATTAGACCAGGGATAATAAGGAAATGCCTTACACTTTTACTGTGATTTACCAGCTTCACAAGTCTTTTAAGTGCTACTACAGTATAGTCTAAAACAGCTGTGTCTATAGACAAAGCTGCACTGGCGTAAATGTATTTTTAAATCAAAATATAGTGGTAATATGGTCATATGACTGATGACATATGACCTTTTAGCAGAAAGGGAACACACACACACATATACATCACATTCATACACATTCATACATTGAAAAGGGATATGTCTTGCTTTAGGACACAATGGCACTATGCATAGGTCTTAAAGGTGCATTGTGTAACTTTTCTGGTAGAGGATCCATCACCTGCTTGTTTCTATGGCTATGGAATGTTCCACAATATGACATTAAACAACTCTACCTTACATTTTTTTTCCAAATAAAGGCGGTTTTTATAGCTCAAAAATACCTTGAAAAACAGACACTATGACTGAGCAGGGTTGCCTCTCCACAGATCTGACCTGTAACTTGGTCTGGTTTGGTCTCCATACCACACAGGTGAAAAAATCCAAACAAAGCAATAACATCTCTATGGAAAATGCATTTGAAAAACTACACAGTGCAGCTTTAAGGTTCAAAGCGGTGACCTTCAGATTTTTTTTACAGTGTTCTAACTGCTACAACCATATAATAGCAACGCATTTGTTTACATTCTCTTTTTATTTATTTAACACTAGCTCTATCTATCTAACTTGCCTTTTACATACTGCAGTGCTTGCTACAAAGTCCTGAGCTGTCAGATTGAATGAAATGACTGGCCTGGAATCTTATGTAATGTGATGTAATATGTCCTAACTGGCTGCTGTAGCCTGTACCAGTTGCTGTTTGTTGGCACGTGCTGCTACTGCTTCACTGAGCCAAGCACTAAATGAATGTGTCCAGGCCCATCCCACTCACTTAAACTGGACCTGACCCCCTCAAGTGGCTGTAAATGCCGCAGACTTAAGCATATTAAATGCTTTTACGGGTCGATGACAATGGGGCCCTGATATGATTTTCTTGGTGGAATATTTTAAGCTCCGGTTGAAAATGAAACTGGAGAAGTAGATGGAGATTATCAGTCGCCACTTTTGTAAATGTTTATATTTGTTTAGTGTGAAATTGTCATTGTATGGTGATCTCAAGGACTGCTGTGGATTTCACTTTGGGTATACGTAGATTTGAAATGTTTTTTGGTATAATGTCCATCACCCGTATGTCTCATCAAGAAATGTTTTAATGTACTCAGAAGTAACAAAATCAAAAATATACCTAGGATGGACTGATCAAACATGTAAGAATAAAACAAAACATAACTCTGGGTTTGTTTTTGAGGAAGTAACACCATTATAACACATCTTAAAGCTCATAAGAGTCCATTTTGGACCTTCAGTTGAGCATTTACCCCAAATGTCCAAAAATCCTCAGACATCATCACCCGTTCGTTCTTTTTTCCTTGTGTGGTGTCTTTTTGAAGTATAACAGATTGGTTTAATACTGAAACACTTTTCCTTTGGCATGCTGGCAGTTGTCTCTTGCATGACAGCGTTGTCTCAGACCCACATAGGCAGCAGCTCTGTGTATGTTGAGCCCTCCTCCTGCGTCCCCTCCCACGCGCCTATGTGGCCACTGTGTAAACATGCTGCTATTCCCTCTCCTCTCATCACCACCAGACCATAATCCATAATGCAGACTCCCACTCCAAACTGACACGCTGCATTCCCTCGATCCATTATTGAGGGCATCACAAATAGACTCTTCTTCTCGTCTCAGCCCCGCACCCCAAAAACAGCTCCCCCGAAGTCGCCATATTTAATTATTCATCTGAATGGTGCTTACAGGGAATGCACACGCGCTCTCACACTAGACTGAACCACAGAAAGCTCAGATGCACGGATGGATGCAGGGCTGTTGTAGTTGTGGTTAAGCACGTGTCAGAGAAGCCACAAATGAAGCTTGTTTTGAATGAGGTTCAGTCATTGAAAATGTTTGCAAAGTTTTACATTACAAGATAGATATCAGCAGAGTATAATGTAGGTGGGTAAAAAGTCAACAGAGATACTAATTGATACACAAATGGTATTACAACTATATTCTGTTGAAAAGTATGTTACATTGTCTTAAAGTTATAGTCTTTTTTTTTTTTTTTTTTTTTTTTTTTTTTTTACATTGTGGTACTGGAAATGGTATTGAGAAAATATTTATGTTATTGAAATCAGTTTCAATCAATTTTAGCATCATGTACAGTATTCCTATCCAACTTTACTTACAGGGCACTTTAAAAACACAACTCACCAAAGTGCTTTAAAGTAGTAGTAGTAAAAAGGATTCAAAGGACAGTAGTCAAGTAAATTCTGAATAAAATGAGTACTTCAGGCTCAATATTTACACATACTTTGCTACAAGCTCCTATACATCTCAACACACTGTCATTTCTTTTTCACTTTCTCCTTATTGATGTTCATGATCTGTGGTCACTTATTGACCAGTGTCCCTTGGCTGGTTCCCTTTTCATTCACTATTGAGTTAGAAATACCATTATGAGGTTGCTCTTTTTAGCCATCACAGTTTGGACATTGTCAAAGCAATTATGTACAGTTATTCTTGCCTACCAATTTTAATAATAATGTGTTCCCTTGCTTCTTCTAAATAATAATAATAAAACACACGGTTGTGCGCGTTTTTGAAGCTTTCCAAAACTGCACTCATTATTCATTCACTGTATAGTCAATATTATATATACTTCACAAATGAACAGGATTGAGATATCTGTTATTCACACAATTCATATGTGTGTACTGATAAGAGTTTGCCATGATTAGAGTTGAAAAAAGTAGATTTTGACACTAAGAAAAAGGCTTGGTATGTTTTTGATACTGCAAAACATTTTCATTTTAATAGAAAACAAAACAATAGTAGATTCTTTAGTACTTTTGTCAAATGTCAAATTTTGTTCTATGTCATTTCAACATAAATGTTCAAATGTGCATCGCTTTAGCTTTGGTATGGATTAGTATCTGGGTATACTTTTACAGCCTTAGTCTGTAGTCACACTTATGTCAGTCAGTGCACAGATCTGAGACATTTTGAGTTTGCATGATAGATTTCCTGTGTTTTTGTTTCAGGGGAGCTTTTTCTGAAGTGGTGCTAGCCGAGGAGAAGCGGACCCAAAGACTTGTAGCCATTAAATGCATCCCTAAGAAGGCTTTAGAAGGCAAAGAGAACAACATTGAAAATGAGATCGCCGTGCTGCATAGGTAAGGCTGGTCCAAGGTCCACTCATGCACATTTTAGCTGTCAATCATAACCTATTAGTCACACACACATTCTATATCACTGCAAAAAATGAATATCTGCAATGTCTATATTTTTATAATTTCATTTCAATGATCTAGATGCAACATGATACATAATAGGTAAGATTTCTTCACTTGACTTAGATTATTTTACTTTTTTCAAATGTTTTTGACTTGTATACACATCTAACTTCTTATTTCAGACCAAATAATTCACCAGTTGTGTAATTTTCTCATTTCTGGCTTCATTATCTTGTAATCTGTTAGAAATGTAATGGGTGACATATTCCAAGCAGATTTGTGATTTCATATATTACTCTATTCTATAAACGCTTTAAAATCCTATGACATCTGAATGTTCAAAATTCTAGAAGACAGAGTGAGGCAAAGTGAGGAAGACATAATATATTTTGCTACACATTTGCCAAATGGCCCTGGAATATTTCACATATTTTGTGATATTCTGTGATTAATCCCAGTTTTCCCACTGAAATCACATTATGTTTTATTTCACTTTTGCCTCCAGCTGCCTCCATTCTGAAATTTAGAATGTTTTTGTTTACACATTTTTAAAGGCTATTTTACAAAACAATGTGTGATCAAAAATACAATATGTGGCATTTGTTGTGCCATAAAATCTGGAGCAATACCACTTTTATCACTAATCTACATCAACTTTAAAACAAAAGTGTTAAGAACATTACCAATAAAATATACTAGGTCTAAAGCCTACTTTCTCTTCAGGTTAAATTTGATATTGAATACAGGAGTTATGTTTGAAATAATTAACTATAATAATAAACTAAAGTAATTGTGAACACATTTTTTCCCATAATTGAGCAACCCTGATTCCAAATTACATAAACATTTAAATCTAACCTTGGAAATCTGCTCTATTCGAGTCATTTTAAGCGTGTCTGGCTTCAGATTCATATTTTACAGTGTCCCCGCCCTCTTCAATGCGCTCCCATGCAGATTATGAGCGGGGTCAGTTGGAAGGGGTGACTAAATGCATGGTGTCAGTTGAAACAGTGGGATTGTGCACCGGAAATGTCAGGAGTAAAGGAAGATAGACCTATTTTTAGTGGCCCTGTCGCCACGGCAACAGCACACAGAAGCTGGAGATGGAGAAGTGGAGTTCCCCGCAGCAGTGAACTGGAGAGAGGAGAGATGCTTGGGTGGAGAAGAAGAGATGGGAGGGTGGAGGTGGAGGAAAGAATGGAGGGATCGAAAGAGGGAGAGAAGGGAGTGATGGAGGTGCAGGGGAGAAGGAAAGGAGGTACAAAGGGGCCATGGAAGTAGAAGGACAGAAGGGTTTGGCAAAAACTAGATACTTCTTTGAATAACTATCGATACTTTTCTAAATAGTTTAAGAATGCGCTTGACCACATGGCAATATTCAAGAAAGTAGTATAATTTTCTACTGACAATTACACTCTATTGACCCAGATGGATGAGATGTGGAGAGATATGGGCAGAGGAGTGCAGTTCTCAATGGTTGGTTTTTAAATGGCTGGAGATGGAGAGGATTTGCCCCCAGCAGTGAACTAGAGGAGCAATAACAGGGAGATGCTTGGATGGAGATGTGACCATGGTGGCGGGCTTTGCACGTTAAGAAGTGTCTCTTGAGTTTGTCATATGTTCTGTTGGTTAAATATGAAAGTAGGGTTTTCATATAAATCACGACCATTAAAATAAAAATATTCAGAAAAGGTCTAAAGTTGTTTTATTTATGTAGGGCATATTTACTTAATTACAGGTGTTAATTAATATGCACTGTCCATATCAAAAGTAAATGTACACTACCAGTCAAAAGTTTTCTTTATTTTTACTGCTCTCTCAATTTAATATACTGTATATACAGAACACATCAAATATACCATGGATCATACATGGAATTATGTAGTAGAAAAAAGGTAAATAACATTACTTTTTTTTTTTTTTAATATTAAAATTTTCAAAGTAGCCACACTTTGCTTTGTCAAAAAATATGTAATAGTTTTTAATTACTACATAATCCATATATTGCTTCATAGGGGTGTAACAAAATCCAAGTCTCTTGATACAATATCGTCACCGTGTGAACCTCACGGTACGATATTTTATACGATATCGTGGGAAATATGGTGGGGAGTCTCACGATTAGGGATGTAACAATATCCAAATCTCTCAGTACAATATTTTCATGATATACATCTCACGGTATGATATTTATTGCAATATTTTGTGGAGGCTAACAAAACTGTTAATATGCTCCTTTTTCCTCTTAAAATGCCTTGACAAGACTTAATCCAAAGAATTTAGGTCTAAAAGTGCTTAGAACTGTAGTTCTAAGTTTTTGTAGTCTACACTGAAATGGAGCAAAGGATCATGGTCTATGTAGTCTTCTCTGTCTTTTTTTTTAGCTATTGCTGCACCATAACTCTTCATTAAAGCAAAGAGACTTGTAATTCAATATATTGTGATGGTCCATGATATTATTGTGAGAACTTTGACGATACAATATCACAATATTTCAGTTATTGTTACATCCCTATTGCTTCATATATTTGATGTCTTTTGTATGTATCTTAAATGTAGAACGCAGTAAAAAAAACACACACAGACACATTCTAATGAGTATCTGGATTTGATACTGAATTTAGTATTGATTAGTATCAGCATTGTTTTTTTGATAACCCTATATGACACAGGCTTCAGTTATAGTTTTAAGTTTATCAGTTTGAATAAAAGATTGAAAACAAATGCATAGAGTAAAAGAGAATTCTCATCAAATCTTAAGTTCAGATGTTAAGAGGCTGGTATCACGTTTGCTGCTCATTTTTGACTGTGTTCCAGTGACAGTACAGTCATATGGTCACACCAGAGCCAGAGCCAAGAGAGCTGCTCAACCACGGCTCAGCCTCATACGAGGAGCAAATCTAGAGCAGAGCCTTTAGCACAGATCTGGGTCATGCATTGTCATCTTTAAACAAAGCGAGTGTTTTCATTGAACGATTTAGGACAGAACATGAGGTTTGAGGCCAATTAAATGTCCAAAAGGGAGTATATGAAAGTAGAGACCTAAATCAAAAGTGTGCTACTAGAATGCAATCTTGTTTCCAAACTAGGGCAATAATGACAGAATGAATACCTCAATATTTTTGTATCACTATTTATCCAAAATGTGCTAAAACATGCCTCTTAAATGTGCCCTTGTTTTGAAGCTTTTTCATAGCTTTTTCTTACAGATGAATCACTCAGTATTCTAATCTCCAAAACAACAATTTGCATATATATATTTATTTACATATATCTCCAATTTATAGTACATATGTCATTTACTTTTGTATTTTTGCTAATCCTATATCTTTGTATTTTTATGCCTAGAATCAAACATCCCAACATTGTTTCTCTGGAAGACATCTTTGAAAGTACATCACATCTATATCTTGTTATGCAGCTGTAAGTATGCACACTTTTATTGTATATAATGTATTATTTTAATAAATTACAAGTGTTTTATGGCTCAAAAAAAGGAACAAACAAATATGGCTCTGTGACATTAAAAGCTTTCATTAGGAGATATTCACATTATCAATAATGATAGGTACAACTCAAAACTGAAATTTCCCTTAAAACAGGTGTTAGCTGTTACTGATCCCATTACCAGTTACTTTACCGATAATTGCACATAAGAACATTGATGAAGAGCGACCGAAATCCAATGCTCGATCAATAGCGTGTTTTGTGGCAGTAACAGTGATTGTGTGTGACAGCGTATCCGGGGGCGAGCTGTTTGACCGCATTGTGGAAAAGGGCTTTTACACAGAAAGAGATGCCAGCCAACTCATCCAGCAGATCCTGGATGCTGTCAAATACCTCCACGATATGGGAATTGTCCACAGAGACCTGAAGGTAATGTGGTTTGGTCAACTCCAATCCCATTAGCGAGTAAAAATATCCATACTCACCAGCCCCCTCCTCCCACAGCCAGAGAACCTGCTGTACTACAGTATGGACGAGGACTCCAAGATCATGATCAGTGATTTTGGCCTGTCAAAGATCGAAGGAAGTGGCAGTGTCATGTCTACAGCCTGTGGGACTCCTGGTTATGTGGGTGAGTACAGATGTACAGAGTGTATTCAAAGTAATGGTACAATATTAATCTTATTTATTATGGGAGTATTGTTTGGAGGAAAGGCTGAGGGATGTTACAGTAAGGAATGCCACTAACAGTTATTGTACTAAATGATTAATTTGGCATTACTTTCTTTGATTAAGTCATTTAATAAAATAACTTGAAGAGGTTGTACACTTACAGACAAAAAAGCTTTTCCATCAAAAACACAAAATTTGTGCATTTCCTGTGTAATTTTTTTGCAATTACTGTTTTGTTTTTGTCATGAAAATCTTTCTCCCAGACCATAGCATGTTGATTACTTAATCAGTTGACTGTTCTTTTAATAATTGATTAGTTGTGATTAATCTTGAAGCTTTAATGACAGTGAAAGTATATTTGTGACTATACAGTATTTTGTTGATAGCACTAAATTGTGGCGCCTTTTATTTGTTCATATCACAGCACACAATGTATGTATGTATGTATGTAAGTATGTATGTATTATATTATTATTATTGCCTATTTACTTATCTTTTTTTCTTCTGAAGGCTTCCATGTAACGTGTAATATTGTACATTTATATATAGCGAGAATGTACCGGTAGTGAGACTTTTTCTATTGCTGTAAGCTATCACCAATACTTCTTCATCCCAGTGGATACAGCATTCATTTGTGTCATTCAGCTCAAGTCTGTCTGCAGTCTCTTTTTGTGGGAGCTCAGCTTTAGCCAATATCCTCTCACACACATTAGAAGAGGCTCTTTTATCCACTATGAGGCTATTACAAGTGTTTGAGAGTGCGCTCGACTGTTGAAGTGACCTATATATCACATTGTACAAAGGTTAATATTGCTCAAACTATTTGTGTTGCAGCTCCTGAAGTCCTTGCCCAGAAGCCATATAGTAAAGCAGTGGACTGTTGGTCCATAGGAGTCATTTCTTATATTCTGTGAGTATTAGGCTTGACCTTCGTGTAATCCACTATATTTCAGACCCTCCTAATAAAAATAACCAAATGAACGGATGTTTCTTATATCTTCTTGCAGATTATGTGGATATCCTCCTTTTTATGATGAAAATGATGCAAAGTTATTTGAGCAGATTTTAAAAGCAGAGTATGAATTTGACTCTCCGTACTGGGATGACATCTCAGATTCTGGTGTGACACATTTTTCACATATGTTTAAGAGTGGGACCTGTTTGGAGACTTGTTAATTTGATATGATTTTTGCAGCCAAAGACTTCATCTGTCACATGATGGAGAAGGATCCAATGAAGAGATACACGTGTGAGCAGGCTCTACAGCATCCATGGTACTGCTTTTGTTTACCTTCCTATATAATACCGGTGTTTCTGCACATTGACACTTTCTATAGGCAAGCACATTTACTATAACTAAGGCTTATTATTCATTCAATATTACAAATTATTTAGCACATTTTCAGCTCTAGATTTATGGAAAACACACAATTTACACAAATATTTCTGGTTGAATGTGTCATTGCCTAAGATATAGAATATGATTCTAATACAACATAGTTACAGCTTGTAAAGTCTGTAATCTTAATACATTTGATTTGACAGGATTTGTGGAGACACAGCCCTGGACAAGAATATCCATGAATCAGTGAGCGCTCAGATCAAAAAGAACTTTGCCAAAAGTAAATGGAAGGTGAGTGAATGGGCCTGTAACACTGCCACTGTTAAATGTGGATAGACTGCACATTGTGTTCACTCTGCTCTTTTGCCTGTTCTCTGTCTCATTTCTGTCTCATTTATTCTGGTTTACAGCAAGCGTTTAATGCCACAGCTGTTGTGCGCCATATGCGAAGGCTGCAGCTGGGCACGAGTGTGGAGGGGCCCAGTCAGATCACTCCCACCAGCCCCTGTCATGGACACCTGCTCCCTGAGGAAGAGGAAGAGGAGCTGGGCAGCGGAGAGGACGAGAGCTGTGAGTATTAGTGGAGAAGACATATAAGCATACGTCACCTTAACAACCTAAACTTATTAAGGTGTATTTTTTCAGGAGGTACTACAGGTGCAATATTTTACCTGTGCTTCTTGTGTAGGCCAACACACTGACTTACATTCCTTTCCTGGAGACTGACCCTAACCGTAACCATAAATACTACTTGCCTATAACCTTCATTTATTTACCTGATGGGGACCTGCATTTGGGCCCTACAAAGCAATATAGATTTCAGTCAACAATAATGTAAAACAAATCAAAATAAAACTGTCAAAATAAAATACTCTCATAATAACGCACTCTTGTTTTGTCACCTTACCCAGTGTCCCACTATGAGGATGGTCGCCGTGGTAGCAACGAGGGCAGCGTGGACCGGGACAGTCTCAGGAGCTGTACCTACTGCTGCAGGCCGGCCAGTCGGGTCTGAGTCCTGTCGTCATGGTAACAGAGCCCGGTTCCCGCCCCAAAACAGAACCCCCCATCCCCCTGGATCCCAGTCTGACCCAGTCTGAAAACGATGTGGTCATCATCAGGCCGTGTCCGTCAGCTCCAGTGGACAGTTACATAAGAGCTAAACATATCACAACAAGATGATGCTTAACCCTCTGGACATGAAGGTTTTAAACAGGGCTTTGTCTGCATGTGTCTTCATATTAACCTCCAGCATGTTGTGGTCCTTTGTCCTTTCCGTCAGCTAATAACTATTTTTATTTTGAAATGACAGAAATTAGCATCTTAAACTAAGCTACACTATAGCCTTAAGACCAGATTTATTTTTGGTTTTCAGATAATGACTATGCATTAATTAGTCTCAATAAAGCATGAACTTAATCTGTAATAAATAACAACAACATAGTTTATTAAGAATGATTCAGGCTCCTAATCCCTTAGTGAAGTAGTAATCCTTTCTTAATAAACTATTGGTTCATTATTATTCAAGTCTGCATGTTATATTGCAGCTAAAAGAGGTGTAGTTACTATAAATTCCCTAATTTGATTACGTATCTATTGTCATTTTGTTACCTGACCAGATAGATATATGTGCTAATTTTTTTAAAATAATTAAGTCATTTTGTTTAAACACAGTTTTGTTACAGTGTGAAGGTGGCAGATGTGAATCACAACCGATGCCCCATGCGTGTCTGAACTGTTTTTCAATATGTTTTCTCTTTTCTTTCATTGTGTTTTCCAGCATTTTGGAGGTGGAAAGTTTAAAGCTTGAGCTAGAGTTAAGTTACTGTTTACTTTCGTGGCTTGTTATTATTGACTTTTTGTAACTTCCACCCACATCTGACCTGTTATAAGCATTTGTTCCTCTGGTCGTTGCATAAGACATATTTTTAGGTTCAAAGCATTATGGACAGGTGAGCCTATCTTGGGGGCTTGTATGTTGTGTTTTCTGGCTCAGACTGGGATCATGGCGAGTGGTCTTATCTCAAAGTGTCTGCATGCTCATGTTGGGAAAGACACAATAGAAAATCAAAATAATTTATTTAATTTTATGACTGTTTTGTTGTTCGAGGCTCAAACTGAGATCCTCAAAAAAAAAAAAAAAAAAAAAAAGTACTACTGAATACTGTCCTCACTGGGCTGCCATATAAAAAGTTGGGGAAGAAGTTAAAAATCATACAGTCACAGTTATGTTGAAAATACCCCCCAGTCATCGCTCATGCTGCGCTCTGATTGGCCGGATCTCAGTCTGGGCGCTCCCCCGCTCCGTGCTGTGCACCTCTAGTGGAAGACGTTTTGGTCTACTGTCTGCATGACCTGGTAAATATTTTTACATAAATGATGATCAATTATAACACACATGATTATTATTACTCTGTTGTATTGAGAAATTCTGTACTATTGTAATTTTGAACTATATAATGTGAAGTGAGTAACACCTGAAGTAATGTTGTTCAAGTACAACACAGCACAGTGGACATTTGCTTTGGTCGCAGATGTCGAGTCTATTTAAGTAACAGTTTGTGTACGTTTATTCACAGCCTGTGTTTTCTGCAGATGCACACATCTACTCAGAATATCCCCAATGAGACTAAAGGATATGTACTCCCTGTGTTCCCTATGGACCATTTGCCCACACATAAAGACAACATGTTATTGGTTTTAAAATGAGGCCATCAAAATCATTATTACCTACTTGAAAAATATGCTGGTCAAGCCCCTGAGTAATGCTGACAGAACTTTATCATATCATAGTATAATGTTGTAGCTACCTGTGGGTTAAGATCTACTTTTAAAAACAAAACAAAAAAAACAACATAAAACAATACAGATCCTGACACATTGTAGTTTAATTAAAGGGAATCACTCTGGGATCTCTGACTGTAAAATATGCAAACAGTGTGTGAAGGGCTCATGTTAACTTTAAGGAGCCAGTGTTAAGACTTCGATCCTGGCCCTATCTGTTCAATGAGAATGACCTTTTGTTTACCTTACGTGGGATTTGTTGCCACCTGGCTGGGTTTTATAGAGCTTAGTTTACCCATAACAAACACCCAAATGCATAAAGAAACACATGTATATTATATATATAAGTACATATTGTATATCCTTTTTGTAAAGACTGTTTTGAGCTACAAATGTATGGATGCAATGCATCATGGGATATTGAACAAGGTGTAAAAAAAAAATGATGATTTGTACCCACAGAAAAAAAAAAAAAAAAAAAAAAAACTAATGCAGGAACTGAAAATAAACATCCTTGTCTATGCACTGCCTGTCCACTCCTTGTGTCCTGTTCTGAATGGGAAAGCTGAATCTCCACACGTTTTAGAGCAGTGATCTGTGTGAAGTATTAACTCAAGGCTCAAGACACGCACTCAATACACACAAAAGCCATCAAATTGATCTGATCTGTATAACACTGTAAGGCAAGACTTAAACAAATTACATTACTAGTGTTCAAATAAAAAGACCAAGATTTAGTCATCTATTTAGAAAAACATGTTGTCTCTATTGCCCTCTGCTGGATGAATATTGAATAACAATAGTACTGTTTAATCGTGTTTGAACAAAGCAAGGTGTATCATATGATCTGTTTAATAAAATCAATAACTGAAGTTTGGATAATATCCACACATTATAGAGTTTGGTTTCATAAAACAATTTTAACACAAAGTTATTGGTAGGTTAGCAGCATGTGACAATAACAATAAAACAAACCGCTGTAGTAAGTATTTGGGTGTGTAAGGAAGTCATCGTCTGTGAGCAGATATTAAAGAATGCAGCACTTGATTGGGTTGAGCTTCAGATTATATGATAACCAAAGGAGATTATGTACTCATTGTTCTCCATATTTTTAATCAGCAGTTTACTAATCCAGTATTCAAAACATATTTGTTGTCTCAGCAACAATGTATTTCAACAGTTCAACAAATTGTATGGAATTTTATTAATAACAGTTGTTAAATGTTGTTGTTAATTGTTGTTAAAAAGCATTGTGTTGCATCCACTTTATTAGGTACACCTTTCCAACAATAGAAGTTGTTTTGTGTTGTTGTGGCCTCTTGTGGTACACTCAATGCTATTTAAATGCTATTTGAAATCGTGTTGACTCTTCTCCATTTTACCAATTTTTCTCCAAGCATTCCAAAATCATTTTCACCACAAAAAAAATGTTTTCTTCCACTTAACTCCAAGACCATTCTTGGAAAACTCTTGGTTGTGGTTGTGTTTGAAAATGACAGTAGAGTAGTTTTTGAAACAGTCAGAAAAGTGTTGCAGGTCTCAAGTCTTTATTTTGACAGCAGTTTGCCTTCAGAATGTCCACAGAACTTACACACTGAGTTGGTGACTTATGGTAAACTCTATGCCTCTTGTGGAATCAAGAGTCATCTAATCTGATCCAACCTGATTTTTTACTTCTAAGGTCAACACTTAAGGTTCTGGGTCAACGGTTTTTTTTTGTTTGTTTGTTTTTTTTTTGTTTTGTTTTGTTTTTTAATGCCAAAATGAATAGCTGCCTTACATTCCCATTAACTAGGCAATCATGAAATAGAGTGTGGATATTTTTCAGCTGTGTGCGGCATCACCATCACACTTGTAAATATTAGTCAAACCCAGAAAACATTTTGTGGAACACTCTTTACAAACTGAGTACAATATTATCCCTTCCCCAATAATTCAGCAACATTAATATCATTTTGTGAATAAAGCATATGCAGTGATCACCCTGAATAGTGTCTGCGTACCTCTCAAATACCTATGTAGTACCTGAATAAACTAGATCTTACAGAAAATTATTCCTGCAGTATCTCCTGTATCTCACCTTAACATGCCTCGATCTTACCTTATAAAAACAAACTTGCCTTCTCATGACCCTGTGCTCTGTGGATTGTTGCCCACCCCTCCAGGGCTCTAGTTCTTTTGCTGAAGCAGAAGTGAAAGTAGAGAAGAGTGTGCTGATCTGTGATGATGCACCATTGGACAGCTCCAGGCCCAGAGGACAGGAGCTCAGAGGGGTGTGGTACTCCAACAATGAGACAAACCAGAAGTGACAGCGCCAAGTACACAGTGAATCCAAACTATGCGGGATATGGAAGATTAGCAATGACCCCACCAGGCCCTGTCACACTACCAGCAGTTTCAAATCCTATCACTGAACTGTCGCACTGTGGAGTGTCTGTAATACGCTCCTTATAAAATGCTCCATATCCTTTGTTGGAATTTTTTGCTCTTGTTTTTTTCCACTACACACAGATTTCTACTTTTGTTTAGTAGTTTAGATGTATTCAAATATGCTGTAAAAATCTATTATGAGCCACAGACAAAAACAGAAATATCAAGGTGCACTGTTTCACTTTTCTGCTTGTTTTTCTGAAGATGTATAATATGGCATTGACTTTCTAAATCTGGGGACTAGCAGCATTTTCTAGTAACACTTGCCTGAGATCCAGAATACTCACTTAATATTTTCCAAACATATGAGCCTGGTCACCGGTGAATCTCCTCAAGGGACTGAAAAAACATTGCACATTTTTGCAGAATCAATGATCAAAGCACTAAACTCCAATCTGAGCTAAGAGAAATGTTGATTTTGTTCAGAATGATAGATGACCAATGAGCTATTTCCTTTCACTCCGTTTCCCTGTAGATGAGCAGGTGAAAGACCTTCCACAGAAATGTTACACAGTGCATCTTTAAATCGTGAGTGACAGAAATTGTAATCAATAGTGTTAAACATTTTTTTCTGGTTTCTGTACGCCTAACGAGTTTTGTACTTGAAATGTATTTTAAGTCATTAATTCGCATTTTTGTTTTCAGACTGTGTAATAAAATGCATTTAATCAGAGGTTTGATCATGTAATATGAGTCATGTTCTGGAGAGAATGTTCCAAAAATATGTTACCTCCTAAGCAAAAATAGTAAATAATACATCCAATAAAATAATAAGTAAATAAATAAAGTGTATATAGGCTATGGTTGTGTGTGATTAAATTTTAATCAAATCAAGGTCATTTCAGTTCTGGTCTTTGAGAGATTTCAGGAAAAAAATAAAATAAAATCTGGAAGAATTAGCTTCTGTGTTAAAAGTCTGTCGTGTTCATGCTGATGAAATGAACACTGAAAGCCTTGTTAATTAGTTTTAATACAACATTGCCACATTGCCCAGCCCTAAGTGTACCCAACGTTTATAATGGGAAAACACATCTTCATTAGACACATACTGAATTGTTCACTGTTCACTGTTACAATTGTTGTCACCTTAGCACTGCTGCGTGTATCTGTATTTACCTTGGCATTTAAATGAAGCCATTATTCCTTTTTGAGTATTTATTTTATTTTCACTCTACTGTAGTATACAAAAAGCTTTTCATGACTTAGGCTAAAAAACATGGGCATTTTCATCCTGTACACAATACAGTGGCAGATAGTTTTCCGACTATCTTCACCTGGTATGATTTAACAGAACTACAAGAATTGAACTGTCAAAGAGTCCTGAGTCAGCTCTGAGTAGCAAAGATAATATAATTTTTTCTTAAGTCTGTGGGCTGGTCTGTGGAAAACAGCCGCTGATCTCCACTACCTCGGGCCAACCCTCGTACATATTTTCCCCGGGTTTATTTTCAGACACCTGACAACATAAAAAGAAGCACATATTGAACATTTTCCCCATTTTTCTTTATATCAAAATAGATAGTTTTTACTGACCCCTACAAGAAGAAACAGAATTGCAGTCATCGCCATCACTTACCTTTTCAAATGGGCTTTTCAAATTGCCTTCTGCAACCCCTGCAAACACCCAGTTGTCTCTGTTTTTTACTGTCTTGATCAAAGTGCTCCCCATGCTTTCCAAAACGTTCTTTATTTCATCTGTCAGCCTGCCAAGAATATTTAGAGAGTGAATAAAAGGATTGGAGATAAAAATGGGATCTTTTTGTTTTTTTTCTTTTACTATAGCGACTCCTCACTTTGGTGTCACATCATCAAACGAAGCAAGCAAAACAATCCTCTTTGGTTCGATCTTTTTGAGATAGTCCAAAATGTCTTCCGATCCTGTCAGAAAAATGTACATGTTATCAAAGGTGGAGTTTTTTTCATTCATTGCATTAGAAAAACATGGCAGAAAGACACGCACTTTAAACAGAACCCATATGAAAGCATGACTGAATGCCTGTATGTCAATAGCTACGTTTATATGCACATCCAAAATCTGATTATTATCTGATTTCTGAAGACTATTGAAATGTTATGTATATCTGATGTGAATAATCTGATTTCTTTCTGATTATTCTCAACAAATCTTGACAAGGACAATTAAGAAAAAAAAATAAAAAGTGTTAAGGACAAAAATGAAGTAAAAATGCAGAAGATAGAAGAAAAAAAATATTCTAGTTGATTGGCTGAGGTTACATACATACTCAAAATCAGATTCTTTGCAGTTGTATGACTGTTATGGCGTGATGAATCATTTGTTTTCTCTGTGGGCATTGCCCTCCTGATTACTCACATCAGAATGTGTACTTTGCAATTCATTTAAAGGATCTTATAGGTACAGACAATAATCATATTTTGTTGTGCATGTAAACAAAGCCATTTCCATTGGCCATGTAAAAGCACTGCTGTGTTTGTCAAGCATTTACGTGTTTCAAGGAGGATCTAACCCTGACATAAACAAGTAAAGACCAAGATCAACATTCAGTTTGATGGGTTTCCAAGGAATGAAAAATTAACACTGTTGCCACTGTAATCAACAACTGAAAGCAAAACTGAATCTTTTGAATAGTGAAGGTCCTTAAAATGTCTATTACTAAACAGGAAACTGAAACCCATGAATGTGAAAAATAGGCCGCATAATGGATGTACTAAAAACTTACGGCCATCTTTAGAGTTTAGAAATCCAACTTTATCCACAGTTCCAGTCTCCCCTGCAAAAAACTCAAGGTTGTTAATTTAGCTGTCATATTTGGGAATTAATCTGTGCCATTAAAAAAGTACATAATTCAGTCAAATGTTCAGTAATAAGGCTGGGTAATATTACAAAACAAATCAAATTTCATTATATTGCAAAAAAAAAAAAGAGCATCTTTTATTTTAATTGAGATATTGCCTTACCGTTTACCACTGCAAAGTTTAATCCTGGTCCCACATTGTTGTTAATATGGCTCAATACTCTAGTGAGAAAGAAAAGTGTTTACTTTTCATAGATAAATATAGGTTTTATACAAACATGAGGCACTGAGCACATACGTTTGACCTTCGAAACATATACTTGGCCCCACAACATTAGCTGCACCACTTTTGATGCGCAAAGCAAAGTTTCCCACTGGACAGTTCCTTGATAAATCACATTTTATCTTTGGAGCCGGAGTGGCTGAAACAAAAAATTCAGTTCAGAAAGACCGTCCAAGCTAAAAAGATACAAAAGAAAGTATAGAGTGACTTACTGGGTTCAACCTTCTCTTCATAATCTATTCCTGTAATATAAATATCCATTAGTTTTGTATTCTAGCAAAACATGAGCAAAATAAGACAAGAAACTTACCAAAAATGTCCCTTGCTGTCTTACTTACATCAAATGAATTACTGGAGAGTATCCATGTTATCAGGAAAATAATAATCAGGGCGCCCAGCTGCAGAGTCTCTGTCAAACAAAAACAAAAACATAAAATAAATAAAATAACTGAATAAACAGGGGAGACTAGGGCATGTTGTCACACTTTTTTCATTTCTGTCTCTCTCTGAAACTAAAAACAACAGAAATATGAAATGTATACTAAAAGAAAAAGTAACAGCTCAGCTATTTTTTTTACTACTACTACTACTACTACTACTACTACTACTACTACTACTTATTATTATTATTATTATTATTATTATTATTATTATTATTATTATGCATCAGTTTTATATATTGCTTGGGGACACTCAAAGATGCTTTACAGAGCATTATTCATTCACTCCACCTGGTGGTGCTAAGCTACTATTGAAGCCACAGCTGCCCTGGGGCAGACTGACGAGAGTTAAAATAAAATACTGATTGTTAAAAAAAATATGAAAAATGCTGTTGTGAAGATACAGTATCTCAGGCAAACAAAGGTCCAATTGAAATTTTTAACATTTTGTTTCTGAAAAAAAATGCAGTGTGAGAACCCAAGTGACAACATTCAACTATTTAACTTTTTGTCATATGATTGCATTCAAGTGACATCATAACTTTATAAAATACCTATCCATAGGTAGCAAAATGATGAAAAAATAGGGTCATTGCTATGGCACTGACCAATTTTATATATATTTGAACAGTTTCACCTACAAAGATGAAGCTGAAACCTATGAACAGTACAATTTAGCGGGAGGACAGGTCAGAATTCTATGGTGAAATTTGTGGTTTCACTGACAGATTTCTGATTTCACAATATCTTCACAATGTGGTTAAAGCCCTTTCATCTGTCTATCACACCCTTTAGTTTGAAAACTAAAGGGTGTGATAGACAGATGAAAGGACTTTAAGCCTGGACATTAAGATGGCGTGTTTATGAAGACAATCTCAAACACTTGAACAGGAATCACAGGAATCACTTGTGGTTTTCTTTCAAAATCACTAAAACACAGGTAGAACACAATCTATTATTGAAGCTTATTTGTAAATATATAACAATATTGACAAGGCATTAAAAATTATAATTATAAATGCCACATTATTTACTATAAACTACAGTATAATCAATAAAATAAAATTGTAAAGTAACTACTAGATTTGATGAATGTCTGTATGTTAGAAGCATAAATCAAAATCAGATCTTACCTCGGAATCTCATTCTGCACCAACAAAGCTAACAAAAGTAAAAAGTAAATATTATAAATTATATTGTCATTTTAAGCACTTCAGTGGTGTCCTCTATGCTTATTAATCCACACACACTGAATACAAAACCTGTTTGAGATGTGAACCAGGATGTCCTCAGGTACACACCCACTTTACATGAACTAGATGATCAAGTTTCAGATATGCCATAATACAATAAGGCCAGTAAAGGACACTGTTTTGTTTTTGAGTTGTGTGAAATGCTAGAGCCACACCTGGAAGTGATGTTTTTTTTTGAAAACCAGTACAAACCAGTAATTAACTGAGAACAAAAGTCAAAGCTAATTACATGTCTGTTTAAATAGTACAGAGTAATTTCAGTTTTACAGTCAAGAACATAATATACAACGGTACAACCACTCACTCTTAAGTAGTAGGTCAAATCTACGTCTATGTCAAATCACTATTTCATCTTTGTTTCTCCTGCTGCCACCTCCTGTAAAAAGCCTTATTACCATTTATAACTTTGTTATGTTATTATATTGTATTGAGCTAATGTGTTCAAATAATTTCCTTTTTGGAAGTCTAAGAGATACAAAATCACAGTTTCTATCTGTGTTTATCTGAATGCTGTGCACACATGGATCTACAAGAAAAGTTACATAGTGCTCCTTTAACATGCAGGTCTCAGTGGCTGCAGTGTCTGTGCAAAATCATCTAATTTCTTTGTAACCATATCCTTCTGCATATGAACAAGGTAACTGTCTAATAAACTTAAAAAGCACTATTGACTCTTAAGTAAATGAAGACTGTTTGCCTAAGTTTTACTATTGGGAGCGGAGGTCACACATTCGTGTCAGCAGCAAAGTAGGTCCTGTTGCCACGTCACTTACAGAGCCTTATTGTGTTCACTCATATGAAGCACTATAATGATCACAGCGCTGTCTGTACTGTCACTTACACAGGAAGCAGACAGCATGGATCACACGGCACACTTCAGAGAAGGTGCCAAGTCATATCTGCAGTGAAAACATACATTTTACTGCCTGCCTCTGATAACTCTGATATACTGTATTATATGTACTGTATTATTCTAAAGTCACAAACTTCTTTATCTATTCAAATACTGATGTTTTAGTTGATAATCCATAAAGAATTGTGTATCAATAAATTAAGAACAAAAACATTTCTTGAGGGTCCACCACAATGAGGTAGGGCAGGTTGCCTTGCCATGCTAAGTACAAAGTATTTATTTTAAAATAATCAAAATTTTTATTTCCTGGCAATGGTCCATCAAAGATCTTCTTTTGCCTAGGGCCCCAATAGTGACAGCTCTGTCGCCACCTGCTGGTTTCCATGGGAATGTTGCCTGAAATGTTTCATAGTATAGGTGTTACTTTATCTGTCCCTATGGAGAGAAGCAGGTGATGCCTCCAGACCAAGTTACAGGTCAGAGCTGTGCAAGAGGATACCACATTAAGAAGAAGGCCAGTTTTCACGGCATTTTTGAGCAATAGGACTAATCATCTAACACATGCAAGATGGATACCAGTACATGTAATGCAACACTGTGGAACACTCCAGGAAAACCAATATCTCTCCATGATGAGCAGGTGACATACCCCTATAACAGAAAAGTTACATAGTGCATCTTTAATATAGCCCTACAGACAGTTTTTTTTTCCTGAATTGCTTTGTGGTTATCATTAATCCACTATATAATCAAATTTAAAAACTGAATATACTTAAAACTTCTTGATAACATCCATGGTATTTTCAAAGTATACCATACCACAATTCTTTCTTCATATTTTTACAGCAATATTAACAGAATTTTGTCTCAAAAGTTAACATGTTATAACAGTAAATAGGCGCTGAAACTTTATTTAAAATAAAATTGAGTTTCAGTTAACATAATGTGATACCTCTGACGGCCACTAGAGGGACTTTGTGCACTACAGAAGGAGCATTATGGATTTTGAGTGTCCAGGGCAGATTGAGTAAGGAGGAGAGATCTTCTGGATTTTCTGATACAATAAGTCCACTGTGTCATTTATAACTAGACTTTTACAGCAAAGTAAAAATATAAGAATTCAAAATGACCTAGGCACAACAGACTGTATTCTACATTGGACTTGTATTGGAGTCTTCTAGAGAAATACCCACTGTTACTGGCAGCTGCAGTGCTATTTTTACAACTAACGACATGTAAATGAGCAGCTATAAAAAGCTTAACTCAATCGTATTAATGTCATATGTTATATTCAAGACCACTGAATAGTTGTGACTGATTATTGTGTCAAAGTGTAAATTTCTTATAATTATGGAAACCAATTAGTGCTGTCACTATATCATTTTTTTTTTATTTCAAGACTAAACAATGGGCTTCATACCAAATACAGATTTTGACACAACAATAAAATCATACTATAATAATGTTTAGACAATAAACTGTTATTCTGAAGATGAAATAGTACTCTTCATATATTATATTGTGGTCTTATTCCTGTTCTAATAACAATCATCTAAAAAGTATTCAAATGTTGTCCTGTTTATGCAACTGTGTTTACTATCAATGCTTTTAATTAGTACCTTGTCTCCATACTAGTTTTAATATCAATTAGTACCTGATTTACTTACTGTTGGCAACTCTAAAACCAATCAGGAGTAGGTGGTGTTTTGCAAAATGGCCACTGTCAACTTGAAATGTGCACTTTGATGTCTCATATGTGGTTGGTCTTCTCTCGTAAGTGGGTTAACATTAACATGAAAAAGCCCATAGATTTCAAAGGGAATTGGTCTACTGATAGATAGCTTCAGTCACAGAAAGACTATTTTTAGATGCAAGTCATTTCAGATAATGTCAACTCTCTGCTTGACGCTAACGGCATTTTTAATAACTGATTTATCGTGTGTAATGTCAGTGTTCCATATAGAAAAATGTAGGTTTATTATTGAGAAGTAGGTTCATTATATACTTATATTTAAAGTGCATATTAGACTACTTACTTAACTAAAACACAGTAAATATTATATTTAAGATTTTAGTAAACACATATTTGGGGATTTTTTTATTGGAGTTTATAATTTTACTTCCTGGTTGGACACGGGCAGCAGATATGACATGCATAGAGGCATTCCCCCAACTGTTCCCTAGCAACCATAATGTTAACAAGGGCCAAAACTTTGAACCTACATTTTGGATGGGATTTTCAGTGTTGATGACATACATAGAGGGATTTCATTCTCTAATTCGCTGCTACTTCTCCTATTTGCATTACAGTCCATGCGGAGGATGAAATGTAAGTATGTGTTGTCTCCAGCAGTAACGAGAATACTAGGCCTATGCGTAAAATATCCAATCAAAAACTTAAAAGAAAACTTATTTTAAGAATTTCACCTTCAAAGTCTGCACTTTGTGATTTTACATAATGATAGGAGGTTTTTGCATTCTTCAATAAGTCTTCAAATATTTGCTCCTTTTGGGAACTTATAAAAAATACTGAAATATTTATTTTGTTTTACCTTTGTTGTTTTTGAGAACATCTTCAATTACATTCAGTAAATTAAATATTTAATGGATAATGTCTTAAAAACAAACTCAAACAGAAGTGTTGACTTGAATCTTGTAGAGGCTTTCAAAGAATCCTAACCCAAACCACTTCAAATTAGAATACTTAAGTTCTTACCATATATATCTTACCAAATATATTTTTTGACAAACAAAACATGCCCTTTATTTGTTCATGATTTTATTCAAGGTGATAAATATTAAAAAAGTTCACATTTTACATATTTAAAATTTAAGAGTGGTTTGATGCATTAAAGTGCATAACATCATACTTAAATATGCAGTTGTAGAGGTAAATACAGTAACCTCCAGTTTCAGCTCATTTAAAAGTAACTAGAAGTAACACAATCCTGATAAGACTTTGTTCAACGCTGAAAACTGCTTAATGCTTAAAATGCTAAAAAGTTGGGTAGATTAAGCTAGGCTCCAATATTTGAAATAGAGGCCGAATGCAAATGTATTACATAAGGTGCTGATATCACTGTTTGTTTTTTTTTTTTAATAAAAGGATAACACTGATAAGAATGTGATTTGACATATACAAATGTCAAGACAAAAGCACACAGTTCACATAATCTTCAACGAGCTCAGCAATCGGCTTTAAAATTCATCTGAGAAGTTCCTGTCAGAGAATAAGACGCAGTCTGAGTTAACATGAAAAAAGGAGAAGCTGTGAGTGTAACTGTTTTAACACATGAGAGAGCCAAGAACAAAGCAGAAGTGTCCTAACCTCATCTGACTCCTCCTCCACCACACAGAGCACGCCATCGCCACCCTCCTCATCCTGCTGGAGCAGCACTGAGTACCTATATGTGGCCTCACTGCAATAAATAAATGAGATAGTTTGTCTGGAAAGTGTTGTATATTTAGTTATAAAACCACTTGTAATTTAATAAAAGTAAAGTACAGTTGTTTAATGTCATACTGTGGAAAAATTCAGACAGAGAAGTGACATATCCATAGAAACATGCAAGTGACGGAAAAAAAAGTTACATACACATTTTTAAAGTGCTGATTCTGCTCTAGTTTATTCTGTGTTACTCTGCTACAGCTGTTTATGGGCACATGTTTGCCTGCACTGCCATACTCAGAGCTGAAGACAGTTAATTCATACATGTACATTAAATTTAACAATAAACATCAACAGGCTCTGATACCTTTAAATTGCACATTTAGTTTGTATTTTCTTATTTCATGAAACTCATAATGGTTCTCATGACTCACACATTCAAGTTTTTAGTAGTTTTTCAATGCTTGGCTTGAACTAAGAAAGTGCAACCTAGTGCGTGAATTTAATAGCAAAAATGTCAGTATTATTTAATGTTTTGCTTAAAATTGAGTTAGTATTTAACACTATAATCAATAGGTTGGGTTCACGTTCATAAATTTGATGATGCAATAATTTCAGATGTAGGGCAAGGGCCAATATAACTATAGGAGATTTAATGCTTTTGACAAATGCTGGATTTATCATTAGTTGATTGGAATTGGCTCCACAAACTTGCCATATTGAACTTATTTAAATCCTTTCAACTGACAACAATCATGTCTTTGGGATTAAATAATGGCACCACAATGCTATTGTCAAAACATTATTTCACTTCTGTTTATATGTGCTGTCAGAGAAGATGATGAACTTTGTGCCAATTTTGTTTTATGTGGATGTGCCCAGTACTTTTAAAGATATTTACTATAAAACAGGTCAACAAGTCTGCAACTTGACAGCTAAACAGCAAATTTCACCATAAAATTCTGATCTCCAGCTCAGGTTTGGGTTATAAAGTATAGATGAACCTATTCAGTATATATTGGCCATGTGTAACAGAACTTTCACATCAAACTTTGGCTTATCTTTTCACCTCTGGGTCTAACAGCCTAGGAGTAACCCCCATTTCCTCATGACTTACTTTAATGAAAGGTATTAAAGCACACCATTGAACTTGCTTACTTGACTGGGAAGCAGTATTTCCGGATGATCAATACTGCAGCGGCTATGGCAGCAGCACAAACAAAGATTACTGAGGCAATAAGGCCAGGATGGAGTCGAGGCTGCACCTGAACAAAGACAAATGAGAGTAAAGTGATTTAACAGTGAGGTACAGTTAAAGAGCCCATAAAGCTCACAGTATGATGAGTGGAGCTGATAAAAGGAAGAGATGCAAGGATAAATGACAGCTTAATATGCAGCAGCACCGCTCAGGAGCAGGAGGTGTTTAACCCGAGAGAACAAGCTCAGAGGGAACTGTGTGGGGCGCGTGAACTGACAATCAATATAAAGGAAGAGATGAGTTGATAATTGTCTTTTTAACAGAGTTGTAGGGTTTGTACAGGGGAAATATGGTGTGATTTTGTACTATGTGATTTTTATGTATGAAAAAATAGAGTAGTCTATACATATTTATAATTTATTTTGAGGTGCTCTGTGTAACTTTTTGATGAAGAGCCCTCTCCTTATTTCCATGAAAATGTTATTGCTTTACAAGGAATATCCCACAGTATGGCACTGAACTCATCTAGCCCTAAAAATACAAGCGCCAGGACAAACAGCTGGTCAGATCTGTGGCAAGGCGAGCCCACTTACAGTCAGAATGCATGTTTTTTAACCCTTGTAAATTGACTAAATGCAGGGTAGAAAAGTTTCATGCTATTCTGTGGAAAAATTCCAGTCAAAGCATCCGCAGAGAGACAAGTACAAGACATACCACCAATTAGAAAACGTACATATGCATCTATGAGACAAGATATAAGTAATGACAGAAGAAGTAGCATATTATGGGAAATAGTGATAGGCTACTGGCAGCAGCAAGTGTCTAACGTTTCATCCTTTTTCTTTTGCTCTAATAATATCCACAGTGGAGCCTGCTTTTTAGTAATGCTACTTTCAAAAAATTTTGTGCAAAGTTTACCTGGAGAATACATTTTAAAGCCTCTGCTCCCTAACGCTTTTAGCAGTGGTGACCCTCCTACTTGAACTGTGTTAACCAATGTCATTTAGGACACTACAAAACTTTCAAGGCAAACTCACGTTTAGCCGAAATGATAATCACGCAGTATTATGGCCTCAGCGAGTTAATAAGTGTCACTTTTTCAAGGCTATTACACATTTTCAGGAGTTATTTTCATGATTAATTGGAACTTGAATGAAGTAGCAGTAGCACTGTAAACAGCCGAGTTAGGAAAAAGGAAGATCACTTTACAGTAAACTTACCTCGTTTCCGGACATTCTTATGTATCTTTACAGCTCTCTCTGCAGGCTTTGGAGTTAAATAGTTACGGATTTGAGAATTTAATTGAAAGAGCCCTTACTCAAACATTTTAATATTAGCTTTTAGTCGCTGTTTTGGACTAAACGACATGTTTGTTTACTTCCTGGTTTCTCGCACCTGACGCTTTTCCACGCCTACTATCTATTTCACGTGACCTGCTTTCTACACTTTTGATTTATAACCCTCAAGGAACATATTGCAGAAAAAATATATATAATAGATTTATTTAATATTGCTAAGACTAGATGTGGGTATGTAGTGTTTTAGTGACAATATTCTTGACAATTTGCTTACTTTATTTATGTTTGTATGTAACTTTATGTTTCTGAGGGATGTCCAATAGTTGCTTCCATGGTACTCCACTAATCTTCCAAGTGCAATGATGTATACTGTAGATTTAAAACATTATTGCAGTAACAGGCCAAAAAGTGAATGGCAATTAGCCAATATTTACAACTGAAATTAAAGCTTTCACACTTTGAAATAAGTTAGCCTACTGAGAGATGCAAGAGCAATACTGTGTGAACCTATATGTATATGATCAGTGTATATGCATTTATCACTCCCTGCAAAAGCCAATTTATTGTAAAGTTGAAAATGCTGAAATTATTTTGTGAACAGATCATGAGGTGTGAAGATGTTTTGACAAGTATGCTTTTAGAGAAAGCTTTTGATCCTCCATTACATGAATATCGCTTGTAGTTAAAAACAACAACACTTCCATAGAAACAATCTTTATGGCATTATAGATCACCCACGCTCACAGCTTTGTACATGAAATGCATCAAGACAATTGTACAGTGCACAGTCGGTGATGGAGATGCTGCAGAGTAACAAAAGTTTGCAGGGAGAAATCAATTCAAGTCAAAGCTCAAGGAAGTTCATTCGTGGTTTACATATTATTACTTTGCCAAGACTCCTCAACAGAAAAGTGCAGCCCTGAGTGAATGGGCAACAAAGCGTGTACTGCATTATGTGAGCTGAACTCCCTCTACAATCGTGAAAAAGATTCATTAACAGCTCAATAGCCCAGCCTGAAAATCCATAGGACATTCATCTTGTGATTTATTCATTAGATATTTATCAGCTAGTGTCAGGCCAGTTCGTAGTACTTCCCCGACTTTGGATCAAAATAGCAGTTCAGGCAAGGATCATAGAGCAGATTCAGATACTCTTCCTCGTTCTTTTCAATCATGCATTTATCAGCCTCTGAAATAGAAAAAAAAAAATCAAATCAGAGGCACATTCAAAAGCGATTGTTCAAAAGAGACATTTAAGAAGTTATTCAAATAGAAGACATGTATGAAACAACTGCAACATCTGTTTATTTTTTGGTTTGACATGCCAAACATGAAAAAGCACATTACTGTGTACTTTGTGACCTTCAAGTTTTAAGTCCTCTCTCACTGTAATTTACTCTGATATCAAAATGCATTGGTCTATCCTTCACTGGCACATTATAGCACCGTACAGCCATCCTTGTAATCCCCATTACTTAAAGGCATGGATGTAGTTGTTAAACTGACAGGCTGTTAAATACTTAAAAAGGTTATGGAGTGCCCCCATAAGGACCGCTTTATCTTATCAGAAGTTCGGCGACAATAATGAAAACTAATTATGAGACAAGTTGTGAAAGCGGTTTAAAAATGATGTTGTAAACCAGAAAAAGGTTTTGTCAATTAACCCAGTGGACGTGTCTGGGGGGAGCGCACATGTAATGAGGCTGTCTCTTCTGACCTATGGAGTTAGACAGAGGACACGGAGCGCACCGCTTGTGGGTTTTGGCCCTTAATTAGAAATGGCTTCACGGGATTTTTTTCAGCCTCCTCCATTTGAAGAATGTAGTTAAGAGTGACAATGGACACTTGACTCATTACCTCAGACAGGAAGGTTATGTTTTCATTTGCATTGGTGCTCTGTCAAGGTAGGAAGGACAAGCGAAAAAAAATTGGCTTCTCAAGTCAGTTTCAGGAAAATAAAAAAAATAAAAAATCACCAATTATAATTAGAGATCTATAAGAATTCTTGGCCATTTTGACACACAAGGTAAAATGTAGTATATTTTCATTTTCAAGTTTAATGATTAGATTTAAGGTCTGCGTTTAAAATGCTTATTTATCTTGATTTATTACTGGTTATTTTTTCTACTGCTAGTTTTACACTTATGTCACAATACCAAAATTTCCTCATTGTGAAACCAATATAGGTTCTCTTATCTTATGTGGCTTGTTATCATTTTTGTAACTGCTACTTGTGAATCACAGCAACATTTTTGTGAAGTCACTTAAAGCATGGCTGACACGGTGATGTACGAAATTAAATTAAAATTAAATTTCCCTGCTCTAACATATCCATATTACTAGAAAGAGTTAGGTCAGTAAGAGCATAAAGCTTAAAAACATATATCAACCCTGCAAAATACATATCTTTGGTTGCATCTCATCTTAATTAGTCACTCCAAGAGGGGTTAATTGAGTTTAAATCTGTGCACCCTTTGTTTATTGTGAGAATGCATATGTTACATATATAAGCAGCAATTTGTGCCATTAACACAAGTCATTCTTTATGATTCCAGCACAGATTCATTGTAAATAGCTGTTGTTGCTTCTCTTCTACAACAAAATGGTGCCTGAACGCTAAGATAAATCCAGAAATTACCTCCAACTAGATCTTCTCCATTGTCCCATGTGGTGTGTGACCTTCGGCGCTGACCGGGAGCCATAATAGGAGGGCTGAGCACGTCCATCCACTCCCTGGGGACCACCGCATAAAAAGACCATCGTCATGACAGTATATGGCATTACACTCACCATCCCAGCACATCATAAAGATACTATACAATATTTTAACAATAAAGTCTCCATCAGCGTACATTGAAGAGAGCCATTTGAGCATCCATTGTCCTTGAACCACTTGTGCGGGAACACTTAGCCTCCGGGCCTCTTGGTTTTTACCTGAAGGATCATTTATTAAGGCCTGAGAGTGTCCACGCTGCGGCCATAGCAGGGGTCCTAACCTTGTCTGTGTGGAGGAGGGCAGGATTTCCTTTCGCTCTAAATGAGTTTGTTCTCTTCGTCATAAAGGTACAGCGCATCCACCTATAGATCATGGGCTTCTTTGTACACCAGGTTGGAGCCAAATTCTTTTATAGCAAGCAATGACAAATAAATACGACAGAGGGGAGAGACACAATAAGATGAATGAACAATTTTGAGGTAAGAAATGCATTGAGACGGAATTCTATCTGCGGAACTTGGATGCTTTATAACAAAAAGTGAATTTGCGGTTTATTTTTCATCTCGAGCCATTTGGAAATACTGTGTTTCTATAGCAACACTGTCAATCAAATTCAGTAGTCCTTCTGATATTGTAAACAGATAAGAACTTATAAACACTCAATATTATTCCCTGTAAAGATATCATTACTACAACTGCTGCTACTACTGCTGCCATACCCAGGACCCAGTTAATCTCCAAGGTAAAATTCTAAGGCATTAAGTAAAAGAACAGCCTGGCACCACTTTATTATAACTACACTGAAATTAACCTTATTAAAGCATGAACAAAGACTTCATTCATAACGAACTTCTTTCATTCATAATTTCTTGATTGTAATGTACAGCAGTTGCACTCCAAATATCATTTTGTTACCATTCAAATGACGAGCTGAATCTTCAATAGAATACAATATCCATTATGTGAGAGCAGCCCACACAAGAATACAATACCATTTGATCCTGTGATACTTATGGGAAAGGATCAGAACAATTTAACTTAATCATCCATTTGTGGGCACTGGGAGAATATGATATATCATATTAGAAGCTTACAGCAATTTCCTTTGTGATATGAAACATAAACTGGCAATAGATTCCCTGCGATGTAATGTGTTAGACGCATGAAATCGCACAGTTAAAATGGCTGACGAGCACAAGTTTCAGTTTATATTAAAATTAAACAGCTTAAATATGTAAATGAGACACAAAAACACAAGCGGAGAAGGCAGAATAAAAGATATGTTGATTAATTTAGTTCAAAATGACTTTGAAAATCTTCTGTTCTAAAGATGAGAGCTTTCCATTCTAACAAAGGTATTCATGCTTCTGACATCTCTTTCACTGAGAACGTCAAAAACTCGAAAAAAGTGTGATTCAAAGCTACAATTTGAACAGCACATAACGAAGCTGAATTTGGCAAGAGTGAATAATTCTTGGGTTTTAAATGCATAATAATTAAAGTGCGAAGAGGTTTGATGAAAAGAAATGAATTACTTTTATGTTCTGCAATAAAAATGACTTTTTACAAGCTATCTAGACCGCAACTATATGAACATCTTTTAAGCTACACACATCTAACTTTATTGTAGGCAAAAAATAGAGGATGAAAGTTATATTGGTCTCAAATAAAAACATTGAAAGAACAAAAAGTGAAGGATGAAGCAGTTTGACATCCGTGCAATTGTGGCATTCAAACTCACTGAGACAGATCTTTTCTAAAAACATATCCATTGAACGCTTCAATGATATCCTCATTTTACATTTGGTATGCTACCCAAAAGCATCGTATGCAAAGACAGAAATGTGGGGAAAAGGGGACAAGCTCATAAAAAAAAAAAAAAAAAACAGAAAAGCTTGCGGTGTTGCCAGGATCTTAAAAAAGCCATGATAGAAAAGCACTGTTAGGCTGTTTGTGAATGCAGCGCCCCAAAGAAAAACAAAGAAAACAACGACAAATCCTGTGCAGCTGCTCTTCAATATGTAAATGGAGGCTCAGTTCAAAGTCTAATTTCAGAAGTACAGCTGTGAATCCTGAAGTGCTGCAAGAGACAAGTCACACAGCCAAGCCATCTCAGCTGTTTCTAGAGATGAGTAAGTTATGATAAAGAGTTATGTTATATCAATACAATATTAGTTCCAGGATGACTTCATAGGCAATATAATAGGCAATAGAGTTAATATAGACAATAAAACCACCACATAGACTTGGCTGCTGGACGCAAACACTTCATAACATCTGTCACTTTAACTCACTTCAAGAATACTTCTCTTTGTACTGCGAGTTTTGCACTGTTGTTCGGTTCTTGCTGTATATTTTGGATTTATATATTTTGTATTTTGTATGTAGTAAGTTTATTTTAAAATGGCCTATATTAAGCTCTTTTCTCATCTATCTTACAATGTTGTTTCCTCATGACAAACATACGTTAAGTTGTGCTTTGTTTCAATCACGCATGTTTAGCACACATATCCTGTAACTTTAGCTCTTCTCACAAATGGAAAACACTCCACCTTGTGATGTCATGCAGTAATACAGGAAGTGCTCCACTGTGTTTTCAAACTCCATATAACTTAACTATAATCATTTGGATAATTTCAGCCCTGGAACTGCCAATCTCTACTGAACAAAAGGTAAAAGGTAGATGCTAACCTGAACACTACCACCATTTGTGACATCACAAAGTGGAACAGAGCATTTTGAGCTTTATAGACTAATAATAAAGGATTACTCAAACATGTGTGACTGAAACAAAATACAACTCCAGGGATGTTTTTGCTCACAAGAGTGTATTTTGCGTAATATAGGACCTTTAATGACTGTTAATGCTTTACCTATAATGTTCCACACTATAGCATTACACTTATACATGTCCATTGAGAAAAATGGTGCAATGCTTTCATTTAGAATGCATGTATTTTTGAGTAATAAACAACTGTAATTTAACAGTATATTGCGCTTTTAAATACTGTATATGTTTAATTGTGTTTAAGTATATGTTTAATTTACTGCAGGGTCAAAACATTTTACTCTATAAAATATGTGTTTGACTTTCATTTGAACTGCTGAAATTAATTCACTTTTCCAAAATTGACGAATTTATTGATGCACAGTTGTGTGCATCATGTTTTTTTCTAATAACATTCTGCTTTTCTTTCAAAATATAGTGTGTTTTCTCCCAATGGCACACAAAAAAATTACAAGAGAATTTATGCATGTTCAAACCAGCAAACCTGGCTTTTCATCAATAAATCACAAGTGCTAGGGAGGAGGTGGGAGCTTAATCTCGAGCAGCCGAATTATGATGCAACCTCTTTGTCTCTGTTGGTAACGCACAGCGGCTGTGTACACTACAAAGACATGGAGATGTGTATGAGGACAGTGACAGTGGGACAGTAGTAGTCCAGTGGGAGAGAGAACATATAGGGCCTTTGGGAGACATGAGGAGGGCTAATGGTGTTTTCTTTTTAAAGGGGCACTATGTAACTTTTCTGGTGGAGGGTCTGCCACCTTCTTTTCTCCATGGAGATGTTGCTTTGCCTGATATGTTCCACAGTATGGTATAAACCATTGTGCAGTGTCTGCTGCATGGAGACATGAAGATGGCGAATATTCCACCAGGAAAGTTACATAGTGCACTTTTAATTTACTTTAATTGACTGTGGAATCAAGTTTAATTGAACTGGACTTTACAAAATGAACACACATGTAGTGAAGATTCAGAAATTAAAACATATTTGGTTTTCCTGTTATTGATTACAGGAACAGATTTTAGGTAATCCTTCAATCACTGTTTTTTGTCTTTTTTTTTTTTTTTTATCATTTTTAAGGCCTGGCATTCACAAGGTCTTTCTGGAATTCAATTTTTGCAATAGTAGTAGCATCATCAGAAGTTGCAGTGGTAGCAGTGCCTAGTGATAGAGTGATAGTAGTAGTAACAGTAATTACAAAAGCAACCATATCAAAAATAAACAATAAAATACACCAGTACATCGCTATCAGTTATAACTGGTTTCATTGACCTTCCTCCTCCATTGCTGTGTTGAATCATCATTAACATATACAATATTTAATCTCAAAACTCAGACTCAAGATGTCTGTCCACTTTTTAGTATTTTGCAGAAAGCAAAGTAAGTGACTGAAATGTCAATGTAGCATTTGAATTCCTAAGTTGCTATAAATATAATATGCTTCTTATGTTTCTTGTTGTGCAAAACAGCCATCTGTGCATTATGTGTTTATCATTGCCATTCTGATAATCTTATCTCCTCTGCCCTCTGATTTATAACATGTTTTTCAGACTTTTTCTAGAGTTCTTAATGCTTTTTTTTAACCTGTGGATTGTAAATGCAAAGTCATCATGAATGTATTATTGACTCCAAAAGAGACTACTGCACAGAAGAAACTGGCCTTTGAATTATCAATGATAGATGTGAAAAGGAGCACATGGGCAGCTTTAATCCTTGCATTGAACTTAAAGTGGCTGTAGCTGATTTTTTTATTTTTATTTTTTTTTACTGTAGTTGAGTAAAATGTGTTTTGCCCTGAGAACAGACATATTGTATAAGCAGCTCTTAAGGAAGAAATTAGACCACTGTGCACTGTCTGCATCTAATTATGAAGTGTTTTATCCTCAGAGAATCAGGAAGTTGGAAGTGTGCTGTTAGCATGCTTGCATTACAAAGATGGCAAAACTCTGATTTGGCATCTGAAAACTATAAACTAATCGTGGTGAATAAGGAGGCTCACAATGGATACGGTAACTAACTTTGGACCTCAGCAAACTGTTTAAAATGAACAAGTGGTGCTTTTCACATTTGGAAGAGAGTAAAGACCTGGTACAGTGCCTTTAACCAAACCCTATCTGATTCCTTGTATTCAAATATATGCTCATGCTATTTATAAATGTACCTGGAAATAGGAAATTGGTGTCAAAAATCACCTTTAAAGTTAAGTGACAGGTTTAACAACAAATGAAGAATAATGTGTAGGTGTGAATGTGACAATAGCAGTTCAGAGAGAAGGAGGCTGTGTGACTGACGCGCTGTTTATTTGTTCTTATCTTAAAAGCAGATAAGCCGCATCCATACTGCGCGCTGACAACTGACATTTAGCCTAATTCTTCACTCACCGCTTTGCATCTGATTAAAGAATTCCACACTGGATTCTGTGTTCAACCAATGAAGCCAATACAAAGATAACATAGGCAATACAAGCACCTCAGACACTGCTGCTCAGTGATTTTTGGACAGTGGAAAACATTTCATAACAGATGTGTGACTCAACTTTCAGTTCACTATTTTTATTATGTTTTGTTCCTGGGAATTTTAATGTTGTTTTGTAATGTATAAAGTCCTAACATCACTTAGACTAAATATACTGACAGTACAAGTACAGAAGGAGTTAGCAAAGTAATAAAAACTACCAGCATCATCCGTTGTGCTGCTTCCAATGCCTTCAGTATGTAAGTTTTACTCTAGTTCTTCTTTTTATAAATATCAAAGAATATGTACTTTCATATTGAGCACTGCTTCCAGCTCCCATCTTTTATATCAATGTTTATAAGTGAGAGTATTTACCTTGGGTTTGAGTTCAGCAGGGGGTTCATCTCCTTTTGATAGTGGTGACCCTGATGGTCAGGCTACAAAAGACAAAGAGGCAGAAGAAAAACATGGTTAAATATTAAGCTATATATTGAAAGGAAATATTTTTTCTTTCATTATTATAGCCAAGGTCCAGGGCTTTCAATGTTTGGTAATGATATTTAACAACTACTTGCATTAAATTGTAATGTGGCTTCATAAGGTAACAGTGAAAGAACAAAGACAGTAACAGGGGTATAGAGAAAGCAAGGTCAGTAGCTTATGTATTTATTTATAAGGCATTCTTACCGGCATTTTTGCTTTTAATAAAAACAAGTCTGCAAACATGGGAGAGAAAGGGTAAGGCTAGCGTAAACAGCCCCAGCAGTGATCAAACCTTGTTCGTTTTTCTGATAAGCCTCAACCCAACGCAACCTCATTTTGAAAAACATCCATTCATCCCCAAATGTGTTTTGATACAGGAGCATTGTGATGTATTTGTGACACAGGCAGCAGCGGTCTGTGAGCCGAGTGTAATGAGCGACCTTTAAGTGCGCAGGATGGGAATAGCAGATAAGAATGGTTTCAGTAATATTCAGCTCAAAGAAACACGAGTGCGTAGCCTCTCCATCTTGTCAAGGCTAAGGACCATATTATAGCCTCAGGAGGCTGTTTAAGTCTAGTGCCTGTTTAAAGCCTATTACATTACATGACTTTGATGAAGAAGCAGTCACACCAAAGCAGCAGCCCCAGCGATGCTTAAGCAAATTTCAGCTATCTGCGTTCTTCAGTGGCTCTTCTACAAAATCATTGTCTAAAAATAAGACAGGAGCTTAAACTGGGCCTGGTGGGATGTGCAGGTAATACATGCTGATGATGAGGAGACTCTAGTGCTGAGCCTGGTGGAATTTATTATACTAAATATTCACACAAAATCTCTCAAAGGGTTGTGCAGTGTTAGCTGAAGAACACTGTTAATTTTGTATCCTTTTAACGCATTTGCTCAGTTGTTATAATGATTCTTTCACTGGGAGTTGTTCAAAGAAAAAATACAGCAAAAAAATGTGAACACAAAAAGTCCTCATCCTCCAGATCACGTTCTTTACCTTCTCTACCTTCTATACAAAACTCTAGAGACCTTTGCAAAATCGAAGTCAAAATACATCCATTCTTTTTTTCTATCTTTGTGCGATAATCACCTTGGTTGAGGTGATAACTACATTATTGAAATCGCATGCTTAAAGTCATTGCAGTCAAGGTCTGAAAAGTACAATGTACAAAAACCTTACCATTTCTTTAAAATTGAACAATGAAATAAGAGTCCCAGTGGTGCGGGACTATATTCTTTTAGTGTTATAAATTTTGGTACATTAACAGATACCTCTATCCGCAGAATGAGTAATAGACCGAAGTTCAAACCCGGTAATAATGGTGCTCTCTGGGGATTGTGAAAAGGACAAAGAGCCAGGTAAGACAATGTTCTTTTCAAAGTGCTTATGCAAATGGCCCATGGACCGCAATGACCTTCAAAGTCCAAGAGCAAACTGCATCATGTGTATATTCTTCATCACATGACATGAAATTTATAATAATAGGGACCATGTCAGATGACCTAATCATGTGAAGTTAAATATTGTGTCATTGAAATAGAGAGAGTAGGGCAGAGAACATACAGGTAAAGGGCAATAAAAGTCAGAGCATGTAAATTGTCTGGTTTAATCACTGTGGAGAATAATATTGGAGATTGTGAATAGAAAAGTATAAAATTATAAATGTGTTCAGGACCCACTGGTAGGTCAACCTCATTACTCAACAGTGGATTAAGGGTTGCTGATAATCCAGAAATAAAGTTATTATTTAAGATTATACACACATCTATCTGCAAAGGTTAGATAAAGACTATATGTTACCCAAATAAGGGTAAACATATTTTTTAAATTAAAATGTTATTATATAACTGAAAAGTAAAGATGTGTTGTAGCCACCCTAAATGATTGATTATATCTTTTAGTAATAGAGCAAGATCAGTATGAAATCAAATTAAGTGAATCTAAAGCTATAGATAAGTAACAGTGGTAGCTGCACAACTTTTTTGATCTAATATTAGTATTTTTTGCTCAGCCTTTGAGATTTGATAATTGTGAAAACTCAAATTGTGATTTCCATTTGATATATTGTGCAGCCCTAGTGTTAGGAGTAAAGTGTACTGTCCATGTCCCACAAACCGTAGTGATGTTTGTCCATGTGGAGGTGCCTTCACTGCTCAGACTCAGGCTCACGTGACACTGGTGGATCTGTGACTGGCTCAGAACACCTCGGCTCTCCTCTTCCTCGTGTTCTCTCTTCAAACTCGCCAACATCTGCAGCTCATCCTCGTCCTGAGGCAGCCGAGGGCCATCGGCATGATCAATGAACGCTTCCTCTGTATCCTAGTGTTTGGAAAAAGACTTCCATTACTTATTTAAAGGAACTGTATGTATCTTGTTTACTGTTTAAAAAATCCACTACAATTATAATTGAGCTTTGGTTGTCAGTCCCTTAATCTGTATATTGGATACATATTATTTTCATCAGACGGACATGTCTCATGGTTTTCAGCATCAAAACAGGCATGAGAGACTCGTGAGGTTCATTCTGCTTTCTGATTGGATAACTGTCATGACAAAACCACTTGGTCATCATAACCAAAGTTGTTTGTTATTATTAATACATCAGTATGACAATAATTAACAGTAAAAGCTATCTGTACTTCTGTACTTCTGTACTACTAAAACATGACTGTCAATACCAGATGCAATTTGGTCATTTCTGACATAGTTACTGCTCGTGTCTTGCATCACCTGTCACCAGTTCACATGTTTTCCCCTTGGAGCACTTTACATTCTAAGCACTGCAGAACACCAAACAAGAACTGCAGTTTTTCAGATGTTTTCACTCAGATGTTATTGACTCATCTGATCTCCCTACACCTTTCCTGGTTCCAGCAAATCCAAATAACAGGTTCAAATCTTCAACTACAAGCAAATACAACATTGTGGAAACAGCATCCAATTCAAGGGAAAGCTGTAAACAAGGTACAACAAAGTTTTAAATCCAGACTATGCAGCTGAATAGGAAAACTCTTCAATTTAGATATATCAACTTGAAACTTTTCTGTTGTTTACTTATATAAATGCATAGAGGCATGTTTAATTTCTTGCTTCATTTTGTTGACACCAGATACAAAATAATTTACAGAGAGAATCTGGATACCTTTAGTATATCTATCTATCTATCTATCTATATCAATCAATCAATATCTATCTATATATATATATATATATCATATATCAATATATAGATTAGATATATAGATACATAGATATAGATATACAGTACAAAAGTCTTGTCGCTTATCCATTTTGTAGAAACAAAAGCTTATAACTTGACTTTAAATTAATCGATTGGTTTTAGAAATGTCTCATATGAAAGCTAAAACCCTCCCAAATTATGCTCTATATACTAAAAAAAATTTGCTTCACTGAGAAAAGATTGATCATTTAATGAACACAGAAAGGTCAGATTTTGGCAAGACAAAAGTCTTGTCGCCTTGTCATATGATGCACCCAATCCTAGATTACAGCCTCACCTGTGATCAGTTACTGATCAATCAATTAGTGGGTGTGTATAAAAAGAACCCCAGCACACCAGACCTTCACATCAACTGCAACTTGACCTCTGACAACATGCCTAAGATCCACCCTGAGACCAAAGCGTTAATTATCAAGAGGCTGAAGACCAGATCCACTGCTGAGGTGGTGACACCTTCAATGTGTCTCAGCGTCAAGTACAAAGAATAAGAAAAAGATCTGAAATGACTGGAGATGTTTTTGACAAGCCCAGGTCCGGCAGACCCCACAAGACAACTGCTTGGGAGGACCGTTTGTTGATTCGAAAATCCACGGCCAGCCCCTTTTCCACTGCAGCAGAGCTCCACCAGGCCTGGTCACCTCAAGTCCCTGTGTCAACCACAACAGTTTGTAGAATTCTGTCTCGAAATGGCCTCCATGGTCGAATCAGTGCACAGAAACCAGCACTAAACAAAAGGCAATTAAAAAACCGTGTGGCATTTGCCAAGGCCCACAGCCTGCTAAAAGGATGGACACTGGAAAAGTGGCAGAAGGTGGATTTCTCAGATGAATCCTCGGTTGAATTACATCACAGCCACCGCAAATATTGCAGGAGACCTACTGGAGCCCGCATGGATCCAAGATTCACCCAGAAAACAGTTAAGTTTGGTGGCGGAAAAATCATGGTCTGGGGTTCCATCCAGTATGGGGGTGTGCGAGACATTTGCAGGGTGGAAGGCAATATCAATAGCCTAAAATATCAAGAAGTATTAGCTACCTCTTACATTCCCAACCATAAAAGGGGTCAAATTTGGGAGCAGGATGGTGCTCCATCGCATAATTCTATCTCGACATCAAAGTTTTTCAAGGCGAAGAAGATCAAGGTGCTCCAGGACTGGCCAGCCCAGTCACCAGACATGAACATCATTGAGCAGGTCTGGGGTAGAATGAAAGAGGAAGCATGTAAGACGCTTTCTTTGCTATTCCTGATGACTTCATCAACAAATTGTATGAATCATTGTGGAACCGCATGGATGCAGTCCTTCAAGCTCATGGACGTCATACAAGATATTAAATATGGATCTCACAGCATCACTACTTAATTCACTGACGTTATGCAACATATTTTTGTATTTGAAGTAAATTATTTGTTCAATTTTCTGTAGGTGACAAAATCTGACCTTTCTGTGTTCATTAAATGATCAATCTTTTTTTAGTGAAGCAAATTTATTTTAGTTTATTGAGCATAATTTGGGAGGGTTTTAGGCTTTCATATGAGACATTTCTAAAACCAATCGATTAATTTAAAGTCAAGTTATAAGCTTTTGTTTCTACAAAATGGATAAGCGACAAGACTTTTGTCAGGGACTGTAGATAGATATATAGATATAGATAGATAGATAGATAGATAGATATACTAAAGGTATCCAGATTCTCTCTGTAAATTATTTTGTATCTGGTGTCAACAAAATGAAGCAAGAAATTCTGAATTAGAATTAGATCAACAAATCCTTCTGTACAGTCAACAATGTATTCTTAAATACAAGATTGTAAAGTTTAGTGTAGGTGCAACTTTAGGGGGTGTAGAAAGTGTGACAAAGCCCGCACTCTGCATTTAATGAATGACGTTTCGATCAGTGGATCTTTGTCAGTTTTAGGAGTAAGTGTACAGGTTTTGTTTCAATTTCTATGTTCACTGTAGAAGCCTAGCACAGTGATGTACGTATACCTATACCTGTTATGAGCAACTTTAGGGGGTGACCTTTATGTCCTTATGGGAGAAAAATGCAGTTTCAGAAGATGCCCTTCGAAATCTATAAATGTAAGTTGGACAGTTTTGTTGTTTCCACGTAAAAGCTAAAATGCTGAGAAAGCAAACCAATTTAAAAAAAAAAAAAACTTTATAAAGAAAATGAGTTTTGCCTGTAGTGCCTTGCTTTAACTTTAGTAGTACACAAGCTGTTTTTGTCAGAGTGCGAGGAGGCCAAGCATTGCAGTGGAGCTAAATGAATGACAGCCAATGAAGCATGTTCGTGCTGAAGGGAACCAACACCTTGTCATTTCTCTGTGACAGGTTTTCAGTCATAACCTTCACTGGATGTTACCCGTCTAGTGCTTCGTACAAATCATTGGGATGGTGCAAGGGTGAGAGAGGCAGAGGGCAGCATGTCTGTTATTGTGAGAGGCATTGAGAACAACAGCTCAGTGGCAGGCCTGTGTTGAGTCTATGCAGGTACTGTATAGGGATAGATAGAGGAGTCTAAACTGATACTTTTCATCAAGTAGAAGTAAAACATTGTGGTCCAAGGAATCACCCTAGTAAAATGTATTTAAGGAAACTACTACTCAAGTAAAAGTAACTGTCTCGGTGTAAGATTTGATGTTAATGTAAATGGAAAAAAACTAACAAATGGGGAAGGCTACATCATATCTATAGCAACAGTGCAAGAAAAACAAATGTTCAAACAGGAAAATAATGTCAACATAACATCCACTTGTAGACAAACTCACACAATAAAGAGTAAACAAAATATTTACTTTAGTAAAAGTAAAAGTACCACTATACTGTAAAATGTATCTCTCAAGTAGGAGTTTAAGTAGTGTCTGGAGACTTTAAAATGTGACTCAAGTAAATGTAAATGGGTAAATGTAACTGAGAAGTACAGCACCTCTGGTACCTTGTCCCCTCTTGAGTGCATCATTGGGACTTCCTGCAGTAGTCTTCTTGATAGTGACACGCTGCTGTTCACAATGACACTGGGTCTCACAGTCTCAGCACTACTCAGGCGGTCAGTGGGAGACAGGCAGCGCTTCGGGACAAATCCAGGAGCTTCAGTTTTGGAGATGGATGGAGGGATGGAGCTGTTTATTTCACTTTCATTTGATGGGCTTTGAGAATGAAGGAAGACATCATCCAGAATTTTATCACTGCTCCTGGATGGACCCAGGCCTGAGTCTGTGGTTCTTCTCTGCTGCAGATACGTGACATGCACTTCCTCCTATAGAAAAGATCCATGTATTCGGGGTTCAGATATATTGAATAGTTTCTATTATTTTACTTGGAACACTATAAATCATGCTGACATATTCTGAAGATCCTAATCATTTCTCTGCTTTGTTTACACTCAGCCATGCCTTGTTTAGCATTTGTTGGTGATGGGAGAATTGACTTTGGTAATAGTCTACATTTTACAGAGAATGACTGTCTAAGATTAAGACATTGCCTGCATTCATTTTGAAATTTTATGTATAGTATAAATTAAATCCATCTCTTTTTAACAGTTGTTTTCAATGAAGGATTTGATTGTGGCAGAATGAGGAGAAGAGGTAAATACAACATTACCTCGTCACTCTCACTGCCGATGAAGTCGTCCTCTGGCTGGGCCCCTCCCCTGCGCATGTGTGGTCCCTCCCACTCCTCCATGTTCTTCTGTGGGTGCTCCTGCTGGCCGCGCCCTGGCTTCTTTGTGGGTGTGTGCGGCGAAGAGCAGAAGGTGAACACAGACTGGTGGGTGCTGAGGTGGGGGTCTGACTCTTCACTACTGTCCCAACTGCTGCATACCTGGAGGTCAAAGGGCAACTCGCGCCGTACAGAGACCCTCTCACCTCCACCTCTCCTCACAGGAGCCCTGGGACTGTCCACAACCACACCACAGGCACGTTTATCTGGGACACAAGATTACAACATTTAGTTTAACCTCAGCACAACTCCCATGAGGGACAAAGCCTGAAAAATGAATACAGCCAAAATGAAGTCATCAGTTAGTAATATGTATTGTGGATATTAACTACAAAGCTGTAGAAATCATTTTGTTAAGTCTTAATAATGTTAGCAAAGTAAGGGAAGCTCATTTTTTAAAGCTGGATTAAGCTCTATAATTGTTTTGATTTGTTAAATCTTACATCAAGGACATACTAAACTTCAACCACAACGTATCAGTCATTCAGTAGCCCATTACTGAGGTATTCTTTATTTCATCAAATTTACAATAATTACGGCTGGTAGGTGGCTCAAAGCTAGCTGCTGAAACATCTCAAGGTAAATGCATGACGCAAACTGAATTGTTGCCTAAAATCAAGAAATTCTGATTTATATATCATAGCTAAAGACAATACACTCCCTATATTTCAGCTATTTTATTCCTATATGACAAAAACAAGCCAACACAACAACCTCCTAGGCACAAATAAAATACATCTTTTAATGATTCTACTTTTTTTTTTTTTTTAAGTGTTTTGATCTGAGACAATTTAGATATATTGAAATGCAAATATCAAAATGGGTCCATCTGCAGCAAAATGGTTATTACACAAAAAGAATTCAGCTCTACATAACAGATCTAAACCACACTCCACCTGAAAGAGCCAGTGAATCTCATCCACTTGAACAGTATAATCATTTTCTCTAATTGCTCACTGTGAGACAAACCTTGAGCCCTGGAGATGTCCCCCTGACTTTTACTTAATGTGCTGCCATTACCATTAATGAACTAAACGCTTTTCAAATGTAGCTACGGCAGCAGCAGTGAAGCGGTACCACACACTGTTTTTCTCTAGTAGTTTTGTGTAAAACCTGAAGTATTGCTTTCTACCACAGAGTACCTTGAAGTGGCCTTGAAACGACTCGTGTACAATAATAATATATGTAGTCTGAGGCATACAAATATGTATGTCCTTTTAAAGGAATCTACAGGCAGAATCATCATGTAGGAACAACACTGAACACTGAAGAAGAATAACAGTCACTTATTAGTCACACATCATAATTGTTATCTGGACTATACAGACTCTAAAACACATACCAAAAGACAGCAGGATTATAAAAGCAAAATGTCAAAAAGAAATCATTTTCATAATGCACTGTAAATATTCTCTATCTTGAAGCCTTAACTAAATGTTTTAAACCTTAATTTGGTTAATTGGTATTGTAAATGTGCAGTAGAAATAACAGTTTGACGGAAATGGGAAAATAATCACTGACTAGTTGATCACTAAAATAATTGTTAGTTGCATCCCTAGTCTCAAAAAGCATGCTCCAGTATCTCTCAAAAGATTCCACCACTGCAAGCACAAACTACTTTTTGTTGCTGCCTTTTTACAATTTCCTAAGCACCACTTAAGTGCACATGTCCTCCAGCTTGCTTCTGCTTCCTGCCACCTCTCTCCCTCTCCATGGCCCGCGCCTCACCTGCAGCTGAGATCTCGCTCTGTTCGATTAGGCTAAGAGCCTGTTGTCTGCTCCCCTGTCTGCTGCATGACGGAGTGCATGGCTTTGGGTTATCCGTCTTTTTGGGAGGCACATCCACTACAAAGCACAAGCATCACACACATTAGGGTTATACATAGAATAGATCTCATAAAACATGTATAATAACTACACCTAACATGAACAAAGACTTAATTCAAAATGAACAAGTAGTTTATTAAGAATGAATCAGGCTTAGCAACTACTTACAGCCCCGGCATGTAAAAAACAGAGTAAAATAAAAGCATGCTTTTTAATTTTTATTTATTTTTTTCAGTTTTTAATTGTACTGAAAAACATGCATTCTTACTCAAAGTGGGCTTGCATCTTCACTAACCTGACTCTTATTTTGTCTGCAGGAGGGCCTCCTCCTGCTTGTTTCCATGGAAATGTTGATCCTCTGGCTATAGTCTAGCCACAGTATGTCATGAAGCATATCTATCTCCATGGAGAATGTTCATATGCTTTAACCCTTTTCTTTTTTTTGTTTTTTTGTAAGTCTGAACGATTTGAACTTGGTTAATTATGACTTAAGTCATTGTTTGTGCTTAATTAAGGCTAATTAAAATGTTATTATATATTACCAAATATACAGTTAATAGTATACCTCTTGATGTGACCTTTGTTTTTTCCGGACTGAAGAGTCTGGGAATCTTGGACCCTGGTTTGTCACATGTTTTGGGAGGGTGGGGTTGTATGATGCCAGCTGTTCCAATACACTGTACTTTTAACCACAGAGAACCGAAATGATCAAATGTGTTGGTTCAGTTTTATTGAAAAGTAATTTAAATGCACAGTAAAAAAAAAAAAAAACCTATTAGGAAAATGTTGAGTGTTGTACATAGAGATTAAAACCAGCTACACCACGTTCCACTTAATCAAGGAAATGCAGTATTTTTCTCATCCAGTTATGCTAATGATGCCTCTTTATTCACCCTAAAAGCTGTTATGTGCTTGAGAGAACATATCATTTAAAGCTCTGCCACTGTGATGCTTTTAACAATGCACAGTGGTTAAATGAATTAACTCATGCATTTTTTATGTACTTGTTGTGAGTGTTCCAGCTAACATGTGCGCTGCATGTACAATCTGGACTTTATAAAAATGTCACACAACAAAAACACATTTGAATTTAAAATTAAAACTTACCCTCTCGAAGTGAAGGGGAGCAGTCTCTCTCTGAGTGTTTTTCGTGTTGGTTGAAATTGCTTTGATTTCTAGCTTTACTCTTTGGGTTCAATTTGCAGCAGAGGGATCCCTTAAGGACATGGCCAAAACACATACACACACACACACACACACACAAAGTCTTAAATTCAAGGCAATAAATTCAGTGTGGTACAGAGTTCTTGTTTCTTCAGACATACTATACATTTTTTATCATGTTTATGTGATTACCATGTTGGAGGTACAAAGTGCACTGCTTTCCACTGTGTCTGAGGTGGCGCCGCTCTTTACTTCACTTTGAGGCTGTGGAGCTCCAGCCCTGGGCCCCGAGGCGCTCTGTAACACGCCCGGGGCCCTGCTCTTCACTGAGAGGGATGGCCTTGTAGGGGCCACACCAGCCGTCTGCGCTGGAGCTGCAAACACATCCAGAACACTCACTAAAGGCCCTGTGAAAATGTACTAAGGAGGGAATACTAGGCCTGCATCCTAAACGTGTTTGGTGTTATGTTACTGGTAATAAAAACCTGAATATGATGAAAGAGATGGCATAATAAGAAGACATTATTTAGGTTTATAATATTTAGGTTAGTTTAAAATGGAATTGGAAATCTATTCAAAGCATATAATTTCTATACAATTAATATAAAGTTGCACTATGTATTTTTTCTGGTGGAGGGCACACTACCCATGTTACAACATATAAACTTACATTTTTTCAATTACAGAAGTTTAGCCTGCGACTTGCTCCTAGAGTAGAGTGGAGATAAGTTTTATACTGTATTATGGAACATTCTCAGCCAAGTTTTACATTACCATAGAGACAAGCATGGCAACAGAGCTTCCAGAAGAGCAAGCCTTTAATTACAATTATAAGTTGTCTCTTTCATGAATGTTGGTCCAGAAGAGGGATGAACCACAGAAGAAAAACTACCAATCAGTGCATTTCAAAAACTGTCAGATGTTGCTCCAGAATGCCCTTTCTGTGAGACAATAGAACTAACCACTGTGCCACTGCCTATCCCCACATACACAGGGGTTTGTTATGTTTTATGGACATATGGCAGCTCTGTAGATTACAGTTTACTCCTCCACTGTCATAGTCTGTCAGGTCTAAATAATTGGCTGGAACTAGGTGTGATGTGTCCATGATCTGACCCTATAGCGCTCATTAGCACCACCTTCACCGTTGAGTTTCAAGAGAGGGAAACTTGAGTAAACTCTTAAACCATCTTACAGAAAGACAACATTATGCCCCTTTCATTTAGTCTCCACCAAGCAAGTATTTCATAGTTGAATTGGTTGCCGACTTTAATTGAAATCACTTAAATCATGATTATGCTAATAATGCAGTTGCTAATTATCAAGCTATTTTTCTGTTTAGTTCTTGCTCTCCCGGTTGACTCCGCTGGGTTACTTTATTCAGACTTGGACAGCTGTCAGAACAAATAAATAAGCTGTTATAAAAGGTCAGACAGACACCAGCGCTAAATAAGTGGCGTGTGTCTTTTCGTATGAATATAATTGACAGTCTATCTGCACAGGTGTAAGGCCAAAAGAACAAAAGGAGATACAACATAAATTATTTGTATCTCTTAGTAAATGCATTATTTGGTGTTTTTCTCATTTATTCTCGTTGACTTTTAACTCAGTTCAAGGGTTGATTTTAAATGCGGACTATGTAATTTTCTGGTGGGTGGTTTGGAGCCTGCTTGTCTCCATGGATATGTTGCTTGGTATGATCCACAGTTTGATCTAAACATATCTATCTTCTACTGGTGTTTTTATTCTCTCAACTATACTTTGAAAAACATGAATTCTTATTGTGAGTGGTGTCATCTCTCCATAGATCTGACCTGCAACTTGGCCTGGTGTTAATAAATAAGTTTAATGCCATAACAAGATAGCCAAAACAGTAACAAGAAAACAAGCAAATGCCATATCATCCACCAGAAAGTTCCATAGAGCACCTTTATTTTTTATGTTATCTTTTACTTGTGTTTGTGAACAGCTATTTTCCTTGTCTATAAATAAATCTTGGTTGGACATTTCCATAGCTTGTACAACGGTGAGGTGCTTGTACCTACCAGCGACAGGTCGAGTTTTAACATCTGTTTTCTTCAGATTTTCAATGTTCAAGACTTGTGTGATGTGTTTTATGTCCTGTGGGAAATGACAACTTCGGGGAATCCACTCCATCAAACCTCCTCCGCTCAGGAACATCTCTGCAGTAAAAATGTTATTGCTTGAAATAAGACATTTTAAAATAAAACTGGGTTGCAAAATTTCACACAAATTGTTACTGTAGCACACACTTGCTATGTATAGACAGTGTTGGAAGAATAATATGCATTTATTTATCACTGATTAGAGAATCAAAAATCGCACATAACACACACCACAAGATGTTTTCTGCTTTTCTCTCTAATAGAGCCTGAGATTGTGTTGTCATCAACCAAGAGTGTTTAGGATGCTAAATATTAAACTTAGCATTTATTTAAAAGTATTCTGACACCACTGAGTAATCAGTGTATTTACCAGTAGTGACCCAGTAGCTTATCTGATTCTTTCACAACTCTCATGTACATGTTTACATTGTTTTTGCTAATGTTTCTATATGTTCTGCATATTTTTGGCATCAAATCTCAAGCTACAATTTTAAATACTGTGATGTATTCCTTTGATGTTTGGACAGTAACAGTATTCTCTGCCACCAAAATAAGGGTAACTGTACAGGAATAAAGTTACTGAATATGTATTTTTGGTACATGTATTTTATAACTTCTTACGACAATCTATACTTGAATATAATTACCCTATACAGTCATAGTTTGTGGTTTTGTTGTCAGAGTATGGCTAATCAGTGTGTTGAAATTACCAAGATATAGTCTACCAAACGTGATACTGTATATGAGCAAGAATCTATACATTCTTGTTCTGGATTGTTTGTTGAGTTTGTATGGAAAACATTATCTTAAAAACCTTTTACATTCTCAATATTTTTAGAGTGACCTGGACAAATGAATGACCTTACCATCCCCAGCTTCAGGTTCTGCTTTCATTGTAAAGATTCTCCGGATGCTAACAGTTTGCAAATACTGTTATTCCATCCAAACTCACAAATCCCACGCCTTTGAACAGTTTGCTTGTGAATGAAACAAGGTCAATGCACAAGTTCGACCACTGAAATAACACAAAAAAGAAATATGTACAAGAAAAATAAAATATGTACATTTGTGTAAATCAAATTAGAAATGATAAACTCAGTTGTACATACAATGTGGTAATTTAAGCCAACAAGTGGAATCTTTGCATGCCAAAGTGTAGTGGAGAGCTCTTTGTGCACAGTGGATAAATACAGTCGTCGTTTTAGGTGATCTGTATCAGTTACCCTAGAAAACACATAAGTTAGCAAAATAGTTATTATTAGAACTTTTATGACACATATTCACATTAAACTTTAACTTTAACAGAAGTGAATTGTAAGTTATAGCAGAGTGTTGTAGAGCTGGTGTCTTTGTCATCTCTGTATTAAAGCCATGCAGTGGCTTTGTGAAACACAAAGGAGCTGGTATACTTACGTGAGTTCAATGGAAAAATCTCTGCCGGGTGGAACACTGACTTGAAAAACCAGGAATCTTTGAAGCAGTCCCACTATCAACATCACAAAATACACTATTGTTAAAACAGCAAAATAGCAATCCAAGTCAAATTTAAATAACTGGTATCATAACTTACAAGGCATTTTCCCATTTTTTGGCATTTGCATTTTGACTGTCTGGCTGCTACCCTCCAGACAGTAAACAAATCCTTTGATTTCTTTATTATACTCCTAAATGAAAAACAGAATATGAAAGCGAATGCATTCAACATGACCTGTGTCAGCACTCAGCTATCAATTACTGCACATGGCTTTTCATTCAAATATATATACTGCGATGCTGTGCTAAATATAAAATCAGCACGGACTGTGTAATGTATAGTTAACAGCACTGCAGGGCGGTACATTACTCATATCATGTTTTCACCCCACTCTGAGGAAAATTAGTCACTGGTACAACTTGGAATTGTCTTTATAATTGTCAGAGTAAATGCTATTTGAATGTTCATAATGTATAGTAATACAGTATAAAATAATTAGTACAAAAATGACATGACGAGATGGAAGCCAAAGACATGATAATAAACTGACATAAAGCTGGTCAACTGTTGGCTCCCTAAATAAACATGGTAGCTTACATTCAAGAAAGTTTCATAAACCAACCAACTTTTCATTACCCTTCATTCCGCATCAAGTTGTATGTCTGCGTTTGGTGAAGGCCAGGTGAGAAGTTGCAGAAAATATGAATATTCTTAACAAGATAAGTGGGGGCTTAGCCGTGTTTGTCTACACAGCATACTCATTAGCGCTCTGGCACAGATATGGACTGATGTGTTAATAAATTGAGTTACATGTCTAGCCTGTAGCATAAAAGATAAAAGAGTCACTTTGTGTATGGCTCCAGCGCTGAGTTTCCATTTGGCCACAGGATCTTTGCCCTGAGCGCAGAATATTTCCACCACAGCTCCTCCCTGTCAGGAACATCAGTAATCAAACTTTTGTAGCTCATTATCACTTCATGCTTTTGTGTTAACCTCGGCTAAACTAGCTTAAACCCACCTGGTAGTTATTCTTGAACATTACGCTTGTCGCCAAAGACGTAAAATCGCTACATTACATACACTGTTTGTGCTCTTTGTTTCGCTGGTCCTGAAGCAGTTTTTTTTTTTTCTAACTTTTAGAACAATTTAGCACGTTTATCTGAGCTACTTGTACACTGCTGTTGTTACCCCGTTAGCCTTAGCCCGCATTCGTCTCCATGGTTACGTTTCTTCACTAAATAGAAGTGCGCACGCCAGACGTCCTTTGTGGATGAGCCGCGCGCACTCGGTCTGGCGCGCAGCGTGTGATGTAAACACAGATACCTCCAGAGGGACGTACAGGTGACGTGACCCTCTCAGTAAGTGGTTTTTTATTCTTCTATACAGCACATATATAATTACCTCCGCCAAGGAGGTTATGTTTTTGTCGGTGTTTGTCTGTTTGTTTGTTTGTTTGTTTGTTTGTTTGTTTGTTTGTTTGTCTGTTAGCAACATAACTCAAAAAGTTATGGACCGATTTTGATGAAATTTTCAGGATTTGTTGGAAATGTGAAAAGGAAGAACTGATTTCATTTTGGGGGTGATCCGGAAGAAATCCTGGATTCTGGATCACTTTGAAATTTTAGTTAACATTGTGGTAAATGGGGCCAAAAATTTTGTTTCTCAATATCTCGGTTAATTATTGACCAAACCCCATGAAATTTGACTCAGGGATGGACAATGGGATCCTCTTTTCATTTTTTTAATTTTCAATTTATATAAAAAATGGGGGTAGTCCTTGGCGGAGGTCTGCGCTCTCTGAGTGCTTTTCTAGTTGCAAATGTATTGGCCCTAAGTTTACACAACCTAATTCTCTCGCTCTCATTGCTTATTTTTGTTAGTTTATTTGTTTATTTATTAGCAGAAATAAAACATTGGCATCAAGTCAAAACAATGAAGACAATAACAGAATCTGATGCAGGTGGTCTTTTTTTAATCACCGTTCATCACCAGTACTCATGACATAGTCAGTACAATACAATATTTATACACTGTGAGAATAAATTGAACTCTGCATAACCTGAAACTATTTTACCCCCAGAAACCTGATAAACGTAACTGTAACAGCCTACACTTTTTGGCTATTATAACACTGAGATAACTTAATAGCTTTCAGAGCTTTATAGCATTTTCTCTCTCTATTTATGTCTTAAACTGTAATTTACACAATCTGACCATATAAGCATTGGCCCAGAAAGCCTGTATCATTTAATAATAACAAAGATAATAGAGTAATACATGAAACATAAACTGAATTGTAAAACTCCATTAATGTGCCATTGTCACTTGTTCTTATCCCAAGCAGCAGAGCTATTTTGAGATCAAAAGCGAGTCTTTTAATTAGCCTCTATGGGAGTCCATATCAGGGAGAGCCATTTCATGTTATTGTGGTGACTTCAGTATTTGTTTCCAAACATGGGAAGTAAAGTGATCACTATTGTGCACGCTATAGTGCTGCATTCAAATGTCTTATTTTCAATCACCAGCAGACAATTGGGAGCATACTGAAAGGTTAGTCAGGGCTCCACTTAACTTGTAAATGTCCAGTTTCCATACTCCAGGCCCAATTAGCTATCAATTTCAGAATTATGAAAAGCTAGGACATTAGACTTAAAAAATGACAGTATACATGGTAAGATAATGTTAACTACTGGAGCTAGTTGTTCACATGCCAAAAAATAAAACAGACAGACTGCAAAAGCATCAAAGAGCAGTTCATGTGCTTACTTATTCCAAGCAGCTCTTAAATGGGTCACAAGAAAACATTCTTGAGTTTAGCAATCAGAACACCCCAGCAATAGTTATTAGTTATTCAAGTTTAGAGCTGGTATAATATTAACATTAGTGAACTCTGAATGAGGAGCAGTGAGCAGGTTCACACTGGCTCTCAGTAGGAGAAGTTTGACAATGATTAGTAGAGACAGCACTATCAAAACAGCGCCCGGCCTGCACTCAGCATTAGCAAAGTCAGAATGGAAAAATCAGTTAATGGCAGCTTGTTAGCATACTAAATGATGACTAATTATTCACTTATTATGTTCAAAAGAGTCTATTTATCTGGGCCTGTCAAAGACCATTACTAGCATATACGGTGTGCTCTCCCTCAATATAGCCTATTGAACAGAATCAGCAATAACAGTGGAGAGGCTCAGTTTGGTCAGAAAACAACATTCAGTGGATCCGTTCACAAAAATTACAACTAATGTGTACTTTTTAACAACACTGACATAAAGAGTTCTGCACAATACGTTTTAATTTTTGTTTACCTAATGCCAAGACCTAAGAATGTTTTAAATTATTTTGTATTTTTACTCGCACAATGCAATCCAAGTTCAAAAAACATCGATATACAATGATGATGCAGTTCATGAAAAAAAAACATATTCTTTGTATTGTCTGATTTTAAAAATACATGTATACATTATACAGTGGCACTCAACAGCTCTATTAATATTTATTCTCGCTTTTATTTGCATTTCAAGTGCTTTATGTACCCTATATGTACCTCTCAGCAAATATAATAACATATAACATACATTAACTGAAGTGCTGTCAAGCATACTTATTAATTCTCTGCAGTTGACCCATCCTTCAATGCCAGTGGGGGAACTTGTCAGGAGCAGTGGGGACCCATCTCCAGATCTTGAGTTAGGTGTGGTCAGAACTACCTTAACTGGAGGATTATCTGTCTATTATCTGTGGTGCATCTTTTGAGTTGATGGGGGAAACTGGAGTGCTTGTGTCTTTTGGTCTCTGGGTGCAAGTTCTTTATATGTTTGTCATAGACTATGTACATAAATGGACATAGCTAACCTGTTATCTATGTCCATTTATGCATTCCAATTAGGAAGTGAGCATAGAGGTGCTTCCATCTCCATCAACTCTGGCTCCAGTTGACTTTACATTGTCGCCCCCTGTCTGTTTTTGTTACTGTGAGCCTCGACATTTTGGTCTCAAAATGGTTGTATTAACCAGCTCTGCATGATCCTAGTGTTTTTATTTCTCTATTTTGTCCATAATCAATTCCTATTCCTAATATGGAACTCGACCCCAAATTCACTCTTACAAGTGCTAGCCTTTTTAGCTTCATTTGACTAGAACTGAACACTATGGGTGACATCACAATCACTTAGTCCACTTTTTATACAGTCTATAGATTGAACTTACTGAATGCATTGGTTTATTATTAGGTTTATTTTGGATTCTGGACTGATGACATTCCTTCTGGTAGGGTGCAAGAGACAAATTTACCTATTAATAACATATTTTCATAAGAAATATCCTAACAGTAGATTCATAAATGTAGAAGCTGACCATTTCATTTAGTAATAAGACCCAAGAACTTGCATATCATTTTCTTGAATAATAATTACACTAGTCCATTTGTGCATATCCCAAACCTGAATAGTTTTTTTCTTCCAGGAAGCCAGTAAATGTACAACTCATTTCTCAGCAGATACAGTACCTGTACCAGTACCTCCATCGTTGCCATGTTTTCCAAAGCAAAAGCCCTAAAAGCCCTAAAAGGTTAGTCATTGTTTATTTGTTGTTTCGCTGCCAACAACACCTCTCTCCTCTTTCCTGGAATGCCTCCCTGAAATACTTCTTATGATGCCTAGTGTTTGCAGGTGATTTCTGCGAGTGGACACTGGTGTGCTGTTTGCACTTTATTACTGTGCTGAATTCTGGAGCTCACGTCTGGTTAGGTCCTCTGGCTGCAGGAAAGCCGATAAGTCCACAGACCCAGCCACAGTCCGTCTGCAGCATTTGGGCCCATTTTTTTTTCTTCCTTTGTATTTCATGGTGAACATAAGTGCGCAGAGGGGGGTGTGGAGGAGAAGATATAGATGAGTGCGTCTGTGAAATGCGGTGATCTTTGAACCAGCGGTGACTGAGAGGCACATGATCAAAATACATGCTCCGTTTGAAGATTCCAGATAGCGGCAAAGCTGGGCAGAGGGAGGAGGATTTACAGCTCACGTTTGTATGGACATGATGAAAAACACACTGTCACATCAAATAACCTTTGGTCACCTTCCAAACAGACCTGGATTAATTTGATTTCTCAGTTAATATGCATTCTAGTGTGGTCTGTCATTTTCAAGTTATAGGTCATATCTGTGGAGAGGCAACCCTCGCTCACTACAGGAATGTATGTCTTTCAAGGGTTTTTTGTGGAATAAAACACACCTGTAATTGAATAAATGCAAGATAGATTAATGTAATGCCTTACTGTGGAATATTCTGCTTTACATAATTGTCAGACTGGTCTTTTTCTGACCTATTTCAGGCTTAGTATGACTGTAATTCCTGGGCCTATCCATATGAAACAATAACTGGTATGAAGTTAATTGTCTTCTCTGCAACATAAAATAAGCTAAACTTAAATAGTTTATAATTTTTTTCACTATAGCTTCAGAAAGTGGCGTGATTTCTGAACTTCAAAGTTGTGATTGCTGGTTTATTATTTATCAATGTGGTAAATTTGTGAACAAATAATAATAAGGTGGAATATTTGTGGATTATAAATTTTGATATTTCTTTCAAAAATCTAGAATGTGAACAAAGTATATTTGAAAAAGCATGAGAAACAGAAGTAAAATTTTCCAATTCTGTATCCTCACCAAAAAAGTACGAACAATGATGATTGCTTGTTGAATGTAAAAGTGTAGAAATGTAAAATAAATGTAAAAGTAGTAGCATGCATATACATAATTTCATCTATGTTTTGTGTTTATTTATTTGTAAAGATGTTTCCTCGAAGCAAAATTCAGAGGTGCACTATGGAGTTGGCAAATATTTGCACAAGGCTGTAATTATATGCAGTTGTCTATGCTGTTCCTCAAGCTGATATCCAAGGACTTTTACTGCAAAAAAAATAAAAACAAACATTTAAATTCAGAAAATACTTTTGGTTGTTTATTATTTATTATTTAAATAGTTTGTCACCCAAAAGGCAAAGTATATTTTATCTATCACCACAAACAAGTAAATAATAGAATATACCAGATTGAATTGGTTAATTGCATGTCAAAATATGCCATGTTGTTCTGAGAATTAGATGAAGAGG